ATTCGAAATGAACATCAATATGATTGATCTTCGGACATAAGTTTGATATTGTATGATATGAAAGATTGATGATTATTGTTATTGCTTTCACGTTCATTATTGATATGGAATGTAATCAATCTAGAGTAGAAATACTTGTCATACAGAATGTTGATTTCAAAACCATTGTATACAATAAGTGATGAATCAACTAATAAAATAATGTAGAACATTGTAAATGATAATATAAATATAAAAGTGTCCAATAAAAATATTTAATTTCATTAGTTGAGATTATGAGTGAATTGAAGCTCGACCACCATGGAAAACCTGAAAGCACTGGACGGTCGTTTCGTCCTATTGTGTACCATCCAGTGCTTCTAGGTTTTCCATAGTGGTCCAGCTCCAATTCACTCATGATCTCAACTATTGGAACTACTATAATATCCACAAAACCCCTTCTGATATTAAAAATACTTAAATTTGAAACATATGAGATAAATGGATAAAATAAACCGATTATTTGTTTAATGGTTATTTATAGTTAGTATTTTAATTGAATTTTACAAACTGATCATATTCTATGGTTGAAAATCTTTTATACTATTTAGCCCGAAATTCTTTGAAGCTGTAAATCTTCAACCAATTTTAAAGTCGACGAAATAACACTGAACCCTAGAAAACTTAGTTTTACATCTTGAATGCATTCCAAAATCGCAAAACTAGTTATTGGATATTGATTCATTAACTTCAATGATGGCTGAAACTAAGTCGTCATTTTTTGGAGTAGATTCCCTATTTAGGAGAAATTATTTTCCAGTCGTATATCTGACCATCTTATTCTCTTAGCATTTAAATGAATTACTTTCAGGTAAGATTGCATCTCTCTTTTAAGTGTAGTTAGAAAGCAGGTTAACCTGGCAACCAGATTAGGATGAAGCACTATAGGAAGTGATTGAATGATGCAGCTTAAATGTAAGACTACGCAAGTTATGTAGTTACACCATTTTAATTAACTGGTAAATTGAAGCTTTTTGTTGAATAACATCAGTAGGCGAAACATATTGAAAATATTCTAAATCTACACATTCTCTGAATAGCTTTACATTCTTTATCAGAAGGAGATTTTGTGGAGCTTTTAGTGGTTTTAGTCATTTTATATTGTTGAAATCATGAGTCAATTGAAGCTACAACCCCACTACTGTGGAGTCTCATAATAGGACGTAACGGCCGTCCAGCGCTTCCAGTTTTTCCATGATGATCTAGCTTCATTTGACGCCTGATTTCAACTATATAAAAATACTAAAATCTCCACAAAACCGCCTTCTGATAATGATCATATGCTTACTAGTGACTGGCTCCATGAGTTTTTTTCTGGAGTTCTAGTGAGAAGCAGTAACCAGTGGAGTTCAACCGAGTCTGTTGTGAGGTAGTAACTCACTCAAGATAATGGTGGATATGTTGCTCAATTTCGTGGATTAGTTGAAGTTAGGCATTAACACCGTTGGATTCCGGCTCAGTGGTCTAGAGGTTAAGTGTTCGCGCGTGAGACTGATAGGACCTGGGTTCGAATCTCACGAGGCGAGATCGTGTATACGCACAGCTGAGGAGTTCCACAATAGGACAAAACGGCCATCCAGTATTTCGAGGTTTTCCATGGTGGTCTAACTTCAATTAACTCATGATTTCAACTTTATTTTCTTTATGTTTATGCGTGTAGTAATTAAGTGGTCATGTCAGTATCATATTACTTATTCACTTAAATTTTGTCTAAAATTTGAGATCAAACGTAGGTAAACTAATTTTTTTTACAAAATAGTTGTCAACAAATACCAGATTGGAATAGTTTAACACATGATAAACAATTTTATCATGATATGATTAAGTTAAATGTAAATCGTATAGAACTTCAGTTAAATAAGTATATAAATATATTTAATCTGATATATTTTATGATCTATATAATTAGACAAATAAATTTAATTACACTTGGTATTGTTTTACTTGAATCTCCTCATTGATGTTTAGGACTACAATGGATCAGTCTCTTATTGGTATATGTACATGGTGTACGGATTGTCTTGATATTACCTTAAGTCATAAGCACTCTAAGCAAAGACGAATGGTGGCTAGTAGTAGAATTCAGGATGCGCGTATTGTCGTAATTGTGACTCGTCAGCTGGATGTACCTGTATCTCAGAGTAGATGTTCACTCTGGGACTCGAATCTAGCACTGTTTGCTTTAAATGCTATCATGTTATCCACTCAGTTACTGAGTCCTGATTCAATTTTGAAAGGAATTACGTTATGCATACTAATTCAATGGTATAATCAGGTTGATACAAAAAGAAATGTGACATATAACGAACAGAAATGTTTGTGATTTAAAGTAATGTCGAGGTAATCCGTACACCATGCACATGTAAGAGTAAGTGACTGATCAATTGCAGTCTTAAACATTAATGCAGAGATTCAAATAAACAATACAAAAATTGAATTAGAAATTAAAGGATAAATTATTTAAAAATATGTGATACACAAATTGTTTTCAAAGGAGATTTGTCACTAGAACTATAATGATGCGGAGCAACAGTTAGAAACCAAAGAATTTTAGTAGTGGAGTTAGGAAATTCTATTGAAGAATGAATCATTTAGAGAAGAGAGATTACAGAGATATGATAGGATAATTTATTGACTTTAATAAATAGAATTCCTGGATAACCGATACTTTTTATACATCAGAAGGGGTTTTTGTGGATATTTCAGTATTTTCATAGTTGAAATCATGAGTTAATTAAAGCTACAATACCATGGGAAACCTGGAAGCACTGGACGGCCGTTTCGTCCTATTATGGAATTCCTCAGCAGTGCGCATCCACGATCCCGCCTGGCGAGATTCGAACCCAGGATCTATCAGCTTCGCGCCGAAGCACTTAACCGATAGACCACTGAGCTGGCCGGCATCCAACAGTGTTAATGTCTAACTTCAATACTTTTCAGTTATATTTTAGTGGATGTTAAATTTATCTGGTAACATTTACGTTTGAGAGTTTATTTGTGGAATTATACATATACAAGACAATTCAATTCATCACTTAGATGGAAAAATTGTTTAAAACGATAAGACTAGCATGAGTGATTGAAATAGCGAAGATGATATCAACAGTTATATAGTCTACGCATGTTTTCCTATGCAACTAGGTTCTTTAGCAACCTACACTAAAAATATCCTTCAAATCAAGAGAAGCCTATCATTATTTATGATGTATTCTGTGGATAATTATGAATGGTAACTTTGAGGACTATTTATGGATCAATATGATGTGTACATTTCCCATTGTATAATTGTTAAGCGACTAGACTATTCTTATTCGAATCCCTTTTATTATAAGCTTTATTTTGACCCATAGACTATTATTATACGATTTACCATTCTTGAGTTATCCTCAGTCTATTAATTACTGTTCCTCCTATTCACAGCCACATTTGGCCAAATCTTGTACGAATGTTATTTTCTATTTTATGGTACGATGTGGTCTGTTTGGTTGGTATATAAACCCAGTATGTTTGAGAATAATAATTCATATTGCAGAGACTGTTATTGGTCTTCTGGACTGAACTCGCTTGGTTAAGCAAATAACAGAACTGACAAGTAATCAAGACTGCTCATACGTCTTTTGTGCATCATTGGGCGATGAATAAATTCACTGCTCTCTGATAGGCGGTCTTATCACATTCATATATCAAACAGGGCACATACGCACACCCAATCGATATTTAATAAACTGAATAAAATATAAACCTTCAGTTAGATTGTAAATAAAAAAATCACTTCAGTTTCATAAAAATGATCTATTATTGACTAATAAATTATGACAGAATACTTCAGATCCGTTGGTCAGACACCATCAACAACAGCCTACTGTTGGAGAGAACAAACCAGATTCCAGTGGTGAAAGAAACTAGGAAGAAGCGCTGGAAGTGGATAGGACGCACATTGAGGAAGGCACACTACTGAGTCACAAGATAAACCCTCACATGAAATCCTGAGGGCCAAAGGTAAAGAGGAAGACCAAAGAACACATTACACCGAGAAATCGAGACAGATATGAGAACAATGAAGAAAAATTGGATAGAATTAGAAAGGAAGGCCCAGAAGAGAGTGGGTTAGAGAATGGTGGTCGGCAGCCTATGCTCCATTGGGAGTAACAGGCGTAAATAACTAAGTAAGTTAGATAAATTATGAAGTAGTCAGTAAAAAAAATCATAGAAACTAATGAAATTAATTAGAGTTAATTAAATTTTTCCATCCAATAATCATTTAGTTGTGAAGGTCATTTTGAAAAACTTCAACGAATGATATTAACAATAAATTGAATTAGGAACGAATTAAAATTGATAATAAATACTACTACTACTACTGCTACTACTACTACTTATACTACTACTACTACTACTACTATTACTAATACTATTATTATTATTACTACTATTACTACTACTGTTGTGAACAAAACACTAGTTGGGGACAATCGAATGTATTTAAGCAAAGATTACAGACTATCTCAGTAAATTCTGAAAACCATACAATGTACAGTCAATTTGCAAATTAACAACCAATAGTCTCGATCTTCACTGTTTCTTCTCTAATTCCATTGTTCGTGCATTTTCCTACCGATTGCGCTTCGTTTCAGTTCTTTCCTCATCGGTCTTCTGTCAAAATACATTCTATGTCTGACCCACACCATATACTACTTATATGGATATAAGTAGATCACACCACACTACTACTACCACCACTACTACTATAACTACTACTACATCTCTTGTAAGTATTATATTCGAATCACATTAGTTATGTACAAGCAACTAGCCAATCATTTATTACAAATGATGTGTTTTAATGTCAACATCACTTGTTTATATTTATATATAAAGTTTCATACTGGATTCATTGAATTATATTAATTCAATTCTAATATTATCATTATAATGCTGTTTACATTTGAACAAAGTTGATAATGATTATGAATATCAAAAATGTGTGTAAGTAGATTTTATTATTATTATTATTATCATTATTGACATTATGATTCTTATGAAGTTGAATTCATTAGTCAATTAAAGCTAGACTACCATGGATGATCGTTTCGTCCTAGTATAGGAATCCTCATAAGAGAGCTAACATGATCCCACACGGGGATTCGAACCCAGGACCTTCAGTTTCGTGTACGAATGTTCAACCTCTAGATTAATGAGCCAGTGTGTTCAATTCTTTCTGTTTATAAAACAATTTACCATTTGTTACAGTTGAACTTGTATATTGATCAGTCAAGGGAGTTAAAAAGTATTGTTATGCTATTCATGATAATTATTTTTGATAAAATGAAGAATATTACACATTCCAAAGTGTAAAATGATAAATGAAGACAAAGCAGACATTATCCACAAGATATATTACAATAATAACAAGAAACACTAAGTGGTTATCAGCATTGCCTCCATTTATATGAATATGAGATAACTGATATACTACACAACATAGCTATGTTTATATCAATACATGTGAGAACAACCATAGACATGAGTTCGACTAAGAAAACGTCGAAATAAAAGATTTTCAAAAACTTTACACTGGTTATGCATTAATCAATAGGCACACACTCACTTTTTCAGCCCATCAAAATAACCTAACTAAAACCAACGAACATAAAATTATTTATAATAACTAATCAAATTCCAGATCAATTGAGTAATTAGTCTATTTTGTGGGAGTTCTCATAGCTCACTTCTATTTTACATATAGACTAATGATGGTTCTTAGAAAAATAGTAAAAGCTTGATAATTAAACTATCTGGCTTAGATAACATAAAACCGCCAAAGTTAACAACATTATTATGAATGTATTTAACTAATTTGATAGTCTACCATTGAAATCTCTATGAATCCTGTTATGTCCTTAATTTTTCGATTACCTCAAATACGATTGCTAAATTTAGATATGTGGACTTATACAACCAATAAATGACGCATACACCTGAACGAATAGCCGATTAGTCCTTTTACCGCTAGCCCTGCCTGTTAAATCCAGAACACCAATATCAATCTCCGCGATAATAATCATATATTTCAAACATGGTTTATATACAAGCCAAGCAAATCACATCTCACCATAAATAGAAAATAACATTTATACAAGATCAAGCCGAAAATTGGCTGGGATTGTAGGAAACTGTAATTAATAAATTGGGCATAACTTAAGAATGGTAAATCGTATAGTAATAGTCTATAGGTTAAAATAAAGCTTATAATAAGAGGAATATGAATATACATAGGTAAGTTACTTATCAACTATACAATAAAAATATATGCAATGTATTAATCCATAAATTGATCCCAACAGTTACTATTCATTATTCTCATCGGGATATAACAGATACTAAGGCTAAATCAATCTTTGATCACGACAAAATTTGATCCAATAACAAAGGGGATTATTAACTCTATGCCATAATAATTAGGGCTTTATTCTCTGACTATAACTACGCTGCAACACTTGTCTGTAAAACAACAAAAAGACAACTAGAAACGGTGAAGAAGATTTGTAGCTCAGGTGGATGATTTTGATGGAGTTTTGCTCTCTGAGCTGGATGGTTTGGTCGAACACTTCACTTCTACCCAAAGTTTGTTCTGATGATGTCGTTCGGAAGAAGGATCAAAGCTCCACGACTGAACCGTCCAGTTCAGAAAACAAAACTCCATCAAAATACTGGGTTGATTACTTTTCGAATTACATTTCTGCTATAAGTTTGTACTAAATTTAGATATTGGCTAGCAATAGAATCTATAATGTGATATTTGTTCTGTTTGAAACCAGTAAACCACATGTGGAGAAATCCAAACACTTCAGTTCTACCCAAAGTTTGTGCTCATGATGTCGTTCAGAAGAACGATGAAAACTCCACAACCAAACCATCCAGTTCAGAGAACAAAACTCCATCAATAACTAGAAACATTTTAGTTACATGATCTATTCAATCAAGAGATTTCTCATTTAAATTAATGATAAGATTTACTAACTAACCGGTTAACTATTCGAAAAAATCTGATAATATTTTCTTCAATAATTTCGTCATGTAAAACTTTATTCAACTTTTGTAAATTAATATATAGAAACACTATAGTGATATTATTACTGAATTCTATACATTAAATGGAATTTTATTATCATTTAAACGTGTAATAAATTTTATAAATTCTATAGTGCTAGTATGATATAATCATAAGTTACATCCCACTGAAACAGTTATCTGTAACAATACTACTGAACTGTATAAGTAGTTGAACAAGGTTCTCTTAAATCGATTAGATTTTTTAGCAAACGAATCTTGTGTGACCTTGAGAAGTATTAACTAATCAGGAAACAATTAGTATACAGTAATAATATATTATACAAAACCAAAGAATTAGAGTGGATGCACTTCTTCTACAGGGTTCAAAAACTTGTCGAGGTTGGAAAGAGGTTCAAAGGTTCCGAAATCGTAATGTATAAAGTAGAGAAACTCATCCATATGGCTCCATAATAGTCGATCTCTGAAGCCATGATAAGGTCGCAAAATCTCTCTCAGTCTCGACCACATAGCCTCATTATTGTTTGTGTGTACTCCGGTTGTGTAAGTTTGTCATTTTTATTACGCATATATACCTACAATACTCATGCCACTGAACAGACGAAGCTTCATTAACATCTGCGAATATTTCGGCCAATGCTACTGGTGCTTTTATTATTCAGTTGGTGGCAATTATTATAATTTGCCTTAGTCTCAATTTGGATCGATCGATAAAGGTTCCTATCATAGCAAACGTCTTCCTTCAACATATATTACATCGAAGGACAACATCACGGTAGTCTGCACAAGGTCTACAAGTTATTTAATACTCTTAATTACAAATACAGGAACTTCTTAGTAGTCTCATTTGTAGTAGCCGCTTAATTGTCGAGTCTTCTCTAAAATTCTCTGTGAACCGATCGTACATGAGCATCAGGTACTGAAATTGGCGCCATGACCTTGAAATCCCTCAAACGCTTCCGATTGGCTCGTCCATAAATTATAGACTCGCCGATTTTCCTAGTCATTTCATAATGATATAAATCCTGAACTATGACATTCACAACTAATGTATTTACAGTAGACCCATCTTATAAATCCTTGAAACTTTTTACTGGGAAGTCATGTATTATAGTAAGCTTCGTTTCATTTAGCCTTGAACACGTGACTGAACAGTTGAATGTTGTACTGTGTTTTCGTATGTCATTCTAAATGAACATGTACACGATTCTGTCTTTTTCGAATAGTTTGATGTTGTGTTCTCTTTGCCGTTATCTCTTTAGTTCTTATAGTACTCTGAAATATACGTTTCTCTGATCCCATACATGTGAAGCACGATTTTACGATGTTTAATTAAGAGTAATAGGTGCATTTGGGTAGTTGAACATTGAGAGTTAACATAGAACGACAGCTTTAGAGTCAGACAAAAATTCAAATGCTCATCTCAACACGTATAATTAGGAAAATATTTCCCGGTAGATTTCAACTTGCAGAAATCTTTTGTATTTTATCTAAATTGTAACTAAATATACAGTTGAAACAGGTTTCCCGCCGAAAGCTTGTTGACATCACAGTTGTATGAATAAAATTCAACTAAACTTTAAAATAGATTCGGTTTTAACAGCAAAATTTACATCATTGACCGAATTTCCAAATCATATTTTACTAAATTGGAATTACACCTCAAGAAACATATGTACCGGTGCTTTGAAAAAGTCAGTGTGCGAGATTTATAGAGATTGTCTGGCTTCATAATTTACATCAAGAACGTACCTAAGTTATATGAATTCATAATGTCACAAATTGATTGAGGTTGTACACCGTGAGCCACTGGATGCCGATTTAGTGGTTCAAGGGTTAACCACCTGCCGCCAGAACTATATATTATAGATTCGGTCTCTGGTGAAATCGTACATACTCGGTGGTGAGGAGTTTTATACGAAGACTAAAAACTGTCGATTGTTTCCTAGTTTCCGCTAGTTGTATTGCTGTGGCTTATGCCCCTGTCACCTACCACCTGGCAAAATTTCCAATCAGAATACCGAATTCTGCGACCTTGTCTCTGTGCTAAACCAGTGATGCACTGACCAGCACGAGCACTCTTGAGTCAGCTATGAGTCCTTATTGGTCCTCTTTGTAGTTGCTTATCGCCTAGTCCAGAACGTTTAGTCTAGTACATAAATATCAGCCTCCGTTGAGCGAATCGTATATTTATTCTTCGTTCGGATATAACGTCCATAGCTAATGACAGTTTGTTATGTAAACTATAAAAGTTAGTTATAGTGTAAAGATCAGATTTAATCGTCTCTTCCTACTCAAGAATTAAAAAGGTAACCTGAAACATTAGGAATTAAGTTTTTAGAGATATAAGAACATTTCAGTTGAAGAAAACTCATCATTATACTGAACGATATCAGAAGTCATATTGTATTAATAGAAAATTATTATACAGAGGATCCACCTGGTGGAGTTAGAAAACGCTGATTTCAAACCAGTGGTACACATGGGCTCCAGGACCCTGATGGAACGAACCTATTTTTGGTGACCGGCTATCATGGGACCGCATCTCCTTACGTTGCCTCACTGCATTGTGGTTTAGAACCTTAGATCAAAGTCTCGGAGAATGGCTCCTTAAGAAAACCGCCTGCTTCGGTTTGGGCAACCGAGTAGCATCACACACCTCACGCAAATCGAATCATTTATGTGGTATATATCGTCATTCCTATTCACTATTTTTCTTAGTTTAAACTGTAAATGACATTATATAATGATAACAAGTCTTTTGAAAAGAATCTAATGACATCATTTTAAAAACATATCAAATTGCTTTATTAATTTCAGTAAGAAAGAATCAAAAGTTCACATTACTTTAATGAATAAAAACTTTCACAGTTAAACAATAAATTGTACAAAAAAATCCAGAATCCTCGAATCAAAAAACAAAAAACCATGAATTTCCATTATCCTTTTATTATTCCCTTCAATATTGCTTTAAGTCACAAGCGTTATAAGCAAAGATGGATGGTGGTTAGTAGTGGAACTTAGGATGCGCATTTTGTCCTATTTGTGACTTGTCAGCTGGATGTATCTGCATCCCACAGTTGATATTTCAATCCAGAACTCCAACCTAATATTGTACGCTTTAAACACCATCGTGTTATCCACTCAGCTACTAAGTCCTGATAGCCACTTGCTTATGAATATCAACTGTGAGATGCAGGTATTTATTTATTTAAACACATAAATATTGGTACAAGGGGGCACCAGATATATATGCGCCACACAAATATCATTTTATTTGTGTGAGGGCTGTGATAATGCACAGGTGCCCAAACTGTAGCAGGTGGTCTTCTTAGGGGGCCACACGTCGAGCCTTTGACCTAAAGATCTGATCCACAAGACAGTGGAGCATCGTAAGGAGATGCATTCCCATGTTAGCCGGTGATCAACAATTGGTTCATACGCCATTCGTTCCTTCAGGATACTGGAGTCCATATGCACCATTGGTCTTGAATCATGATTTTCCAACTCCCATAGGTGGACTTTCCATGTCCACCGACCCAGTTAAACCGCTTGTTATCCTCTCACTTTCGTAAACAACACCCCTGCCACGAGAAGGCGGTGAGTAGTTACATTCAACCTATGAATCCCAAATAGGACAAAACTTGCATCGTAGATTCCCCATACCAGACACTAACCATCTTTATTTATCAAGTTGAAACATATTTGTATATTCATAATTTTTGTTTTTCTTTTTATTTATATTTGCTATATGAAATAAAATAACATTTGAAATGTTCAACTTTTCATTTCATTTACATGAAACATAATTTGATCAACATTTTATATATAAATTAAACATTGCGCCACTTGATGAATTTAATTCATTAAAACAAAATTATAAATTAAATATTTTGAAAATTTAATATCAATTCTATCCATTTTTAATTATGTTCCATTCATTCTATACATCTAACTATAAATATAAACAATAAAATTCATCTATTTCAGTAATATATATATATATATATATATATATATATATATCTTAATTGTTTATAAATGATAATAGTTTTCAGGTGGTTCTATTAAATAGACAAACCAATACACCTTAATAATCATCATTTTAATAATGAAAATATTTTTTTTCATTTTTGTTGTGTATTATGATAATTAGTAAAATTTGTTAATAAATTACACAATTCAAAGTGATTTAACAAGTAAATTATGACATTTTTATATAACAAAGGGGGTTTTGTGAAGATTTTAGTAGTTTTATATAGTTGAAATCATGAATTAATTGAAGCTAGACCACGATGGAGAACCTGGAAGTACTGGACAGCCGTTTCGTCCTATTGTGGGGCTCCTTAGCAGTGTACACTTTCGATCCCGCCTTGTCAGATTAGAACCCAGGACCTATTAGTCTCGCGCTCGCGCGCTTATAAATAAATAAATAAATAAAATAATATATATATATATATATATATATATATATATATATGTATATATATATATATATATATACTTACTTGCTTATGCCTATTACTCCCAATGGAGCATATGCCGCCAATCATCATTCTCCACCCCACTCTATCCTGGGCCTTCTTTCCAGTTCTATCCAATTTTGTCCATTCATCTCATGTCTGTCTCCATTTCTCGGTGTAATGTGTTCTTTGGTCTTCTTCTTCCTTGACCATTCAGGATTCCATGTGAGGGCTTGTCTTGTGACGTAGTTGGGTGATTTCTTCAAAGTGTGCCCAATTCACTTCCAACGCTTCTTCCTGATTTCTTTTTCCAATGAAATCTGGTTTGTTCTCTCTAACAGTAGAATGATGCTGATAGTGCCTGGCCAACGGATTCGAAGTATTTTGCGTAGACAACTGTCAATAAACACCTATATCTTCTGGATGATGGCTTTCGTAGTTCTCTAAGTTTCCGCTCCATACAGTAGGACTGTCTTGACATTTGTATTGAAAATTCTGATCTTGGTGTTGGTTGACAGACAGTTATTTTGAGTTTCAGATTTTCTTTAGTTGTAAATATGCTGCTCTTGCTTTGCCGATCCGCATCTTCACATCTGCATTAGATCCATCGTGTTCATCGATGATGCCCAGATAATGTAAAGGTTTTCACACCCTCCAAAGCTTCTCCGTCAAGTGTAATTCGATTGGTGCATACTGTAATGTATCGGAGAGTCTTGCTTATATATATAATCCTAAATAGATTGAGGTAATCCTATACTTACATATTATGACAGACAATCTTATTAAAACGACTAATAAATACTAACTATTAAATTATCATACACAAAAAAGGTAATTTTAATAGTTGAGATCATGGGTTAACTGAAGTTAGACCACCATGGAAAACCTGGAAACACTGGATGGCCGTTTCATCCTATTGTGGGACGCCTTGGCAGTGTACATTTACGATCCCGCCTAGTGAGATTCGAACCCAGGACCTATCAGTCCTGTTAAAAAAATTTCCAATACTTTGACTAAAGAAAACTAAGTGAAATAGTGATTGTTTTAATGGTAGGACGTATAACCTATTTACTCAAATATAAGGAGTATAATCAAATTGTGTGTGATTAATGAATGGATTGAAGACAGTTCACTATGAAAAAGCTTTAAAATCTACCGAGCTAACACAAAACTGTTCTCTGACTAATATGTAAATTAGGAACAGATCTCCAAATGTTTTAATGCGAGTCTACGAATCATAGAGTTCAGTAAGTTGGGAGTGAGATAATTTTCATTGACAATGTTGAATAATCATTGCATTGTATTGGATATACTATGTAAATCATTTGGTGGTTGGAGGTAATCATTGAAAAACAATACTTGACCTTGACTAATCAAAAAGGTATACCTCTAATTTCAAGAGAAATGATAACTCCTGGGAGTTCGAACTCCAGTCACACAGCTTTACACTCTGAGACGTTATTACTGAGTTATTTGGGCTGCAACTAGGCTCTTGTTGAACTATTATATTTATAGTTTATTAGTCGATGAGACTGAAGGTGCATTTTATTGTCAGGTGATAACTGCCAGGAGAGGTATATTCAGGGTTCCATATCAATTACTTACAACCATTTAACATCTAAAAATAGCACACATGGTATCAAGTAACCTAGAGTAGTAACCTCATTTCAGAATTTAATCAACACTGAAAGGCCAAAAAACGCTGACTTTGAGTAGAATTGAGTAATCAGCCAACTGTCCATTCTATGGGAATGGTCTCGATACTACCGCTAGGTCACAATCACTATAAGCGGAGATGGATAGTGGTTAGCAGTGGAATCCATGACGCCAGTTTCGTTCTATTTGAGATTCGTCAACAGTATGTACCCAGATCTGAGAGTTGATATTCATTTCAAGACTCGAACACAGTAATGAAGCAAAGGTTTCGTAATATATATATATATATGCGGATTGCATCGATACAGCTATTTTACCACCAGCTTTACAATATATATCAATCATGGCTGGTAGTGGGTGCACAGTTCATCTTATTTAAGATTTGTCATCTGAATAAACCTGTGTGTCTAGTGTTAAATTTTTACTTCGACACTTGAAGTTACTATTGTGTTTATCTATTTACATCAAAAACAAACGTATCAGTCAGTTTCTCCCCTGTCACAGAAGCGTCATATAAATTACTATCCATTCTGCATTCATCAGTTTTATAAAGTTCTCATTTGAAATTGAATTTCTCATAAATTTCTGTTTTCATTGAAGATCCACAGATATTTTGTTGATATTTATATAAAGTAATATATTAAAATTTTTCCATAGTGATCTAGCTTTAATGGACTCATAAATTCAACTACTAAAAATTGCCACAGTATCCACAGAACCCCATTCTGATAATAATCATCATGTACTCACTAGTGATTGGCTTCATGAGGTATTTTCTGAAGTTCAAGTAAGAAGTCGTATCCAGTAGAGTTCAACCGTGTAGAGGCAGTTACTCACTGAAAAATGTTGTGGATGGTCGCTCAATATCATGGACTGGTTAAAGTTAGACATTAACACCACTGTATGCCGACTCAGTGGTCTAGATGTTAAGCGTTCGCTAGCAAGACCGAAAATCCTAGGTTCGAGTCGTTTTGGTAGGGGGTCATGGACGTGTACTACTGAGGAGTCCCACACTAAGACGAAACGGCCGTCCACTAGTTCCAGGTTTTCAATGACGGTTCGGTTCGTGATCTTAGCCAAAAACATAACCTCCGAAACCCCATACTGAAAACTAATTTCTATCAATTTTATTCTTTTTCAGTTCGATCAGTGATTTTTTTCGCATTCATGCCGTTTCATAAAATTATCATCATTTTCGGGATAATAAATACATTTATATTACTATGGATACTACATGAATATGATGTATATAACAATTGGAATGTACCAAGACAAATGAATAATGATGTATTCAACAGTCCAGAGTTCTTATCATTAAATCAAACAACAAATTTACATGTTTATATTGTAGAAGAACATCATGAAGGTAAGTGAAAAAGGATATTATAAATGTATTAATATTTCTAAGTAAATTACTATATTTGATTTCGTATAAAAGAATTACATCATCACGAATGGTTGTTATAAGAAATTATCCTCATTCTGAAATTAATCGCGTTAGAGTCCCACAGTGAACATCAACTCTGAGATGCAGGTACATCCAGCTGACGAGTCCCAAATAGGACGAAACGCGCGTCAAACTGGATTCTACTGCTATCCACTATCCATCTTTACTTATAATGCTTGTGACTTCAGGCAATATCGAGGCAATACGCACAGTATACACATATGCCAATAAGAGACTGACCAGTTGCAGTCCTAAGCATCAATGTGAAGATTCAAACAAACAATTCCAAGTGAATTCAATCCAAATATTTGTTACTATCAGCCTACTTATATTGTATAGGTAATATATATAGTAATTAAGTATTAAATAGACTTGTTACTTAAAGTATGGTTAATATATTTAAAGTATAACTATAATGATTAACAATGGAAATCGAGAGATACATCCAAAACAAAGAAATAAACAATGACAGATTTAAAGTCAACAACAACCATTCAACATCGAGGTGTACAGGACAAGCTGTGAACCACATATGGAGAAATTCAAACACTTCACTTCTACCCGAAGTTTGTGCTGATGTTGTCATTCAGAAGGAGGATGAAAGCTCCACGACCAAACCATTCAGCTCAGAGAACAAAACTCCATCAAAAACGCAGTATTGTCTAATCTCTGTAAACCGTTTAGTCCTAGTTATCTTGTATTGTATATATATCTATGTAGATGGATGAAAGGGGAAATGAACAAATAAATTATACACCAGCGAATTTCAAGAAATGTCAGGCAAAAGAAAAGTGTTTTTCTTTTAGCTGACGTCAAATTAAATCATTCTGTATGAACATTTTATCTTATGGTGAATATATATTACACTATACAACCCTAAAGAAGCCTTTCATCACATAACTATACAATCGTAATGGAATTCATCTTGTAGTATGAATTTTTTTTTATTTGTTAGTTTAATCTAGTCTGAATTTTGTTGTTATTTGATAAGCTATTCATTTACGTAAATGTTTATAACATATATGACTGTTGGGTAGTAGTAAGTAGTTTCAGGAACTTGACAAGAAACCTCGAATATAGGTTTCATATTATTTGGCACCCAAGATGAAGGTTTATTTGTAACTTTGAGGGAAACGATGCTCTTTGGAGGTTTAGATCCTATGTCACTATGGCTGACAATCAGGAACTTCAGGAGTGAGCTTTTTGGGTAGCAATTGAGCTTCTGTAGGACTAAGATGCGTTAACAATAGGGTGATCATTGAGTGGTAACCAATGTCATGTGATTCAAGTCCTTCAAAGTGTTGATCGAATCCTATCGATTGTCTACTTCAAACCACAATAAGATTACAATCCAATGTAGTCCATGTGATATGGAGTCATTTTGACTTGCGGTAACATTTTGACTCCATCAATAATACTCAAGTAGATCCAAGAAAAACTTGACATACCTGACATTGGTCACTACTCAGTAATCAACTAATTATAAATACATAATTGTTGCTTGTAAGTTAAAGTACAATACTAGTAATTATCTGATTGTTTCATTATTCTAGAAAAGACTTGTGTATCTAGCAGACTACATATAATTTAATGAGAAACGATGGTTTCAAATACTACTTACTTGAAAATATTAGATTTGATGGTTTACGTATCCGCATTCTAAGTAGATTGCTTCAATATTGCTATTTGTCACTAGCTCTTAATAAAATTGGATTGTGTTTGGCAGTGGAATTTAAGACAGGAGTTTCGCCTTTAACAAATAAAATTCATACCCTCTACACAAGTTGGCATCTATTTGGATTCATTAGTTCAGTTTAAAATTAGATAATTAATGGATTCGAATTTCAATGTGAACATCAATACCAAGTTAAAAATACATCCATCTTTTCCAGTGCTATCCAGATATCAAATATCTTAGAAACTGATCCCCCCTTCCAGCCATATAGAATGGTGAAGCCTAGTAGGCCCTTCTGGAGAAGAGTGCTACATTGAAGCACGGCAAAACTACCGGAGCGGGATAGCTGTTTCTGCACTGCTTACACAGAACCATTACATAACACTCACAACCCATTATTTTGTTTTTTGGGCAGACTCATTTTTAACCACTCTTTTGAACCCTCGATAGTTATGCAATGACTTTTTGTAACATTCGTAATCGTTCTCAAATATTGGTAGAGAGGTTGATTAGGCTGATCTCCACTACTCAGGTGACCTTCCACGTTAGTACATGGGATGGTTGCCATGATCCAAGAGGCACGGCGAGGACGTGTGAGTCGGATTTCGCGAATGATAATACTGAAACAAGCCATTCAACAGTGGTATATAACAACAGAAGTTGATCAGTTTCACTTCCTAATATCCATAATATCAAATTAACAATCATCAAAAGTAGAGTTGATAATAGTTTACCTATCTCAAAATAGTTAAGTTTTCTTCCAGCAATCACCTTTTTTTGTTTTTCTCTATTTAATTTGTACTTTATTTGTTTTATATGTTTACAGTCATTCCTTATTGGTTTACTGCTGCCAAGTCATTTAATAATGAAAAAGCTGTTTTAGTAAGTGTGTGTGTATTACTTTATTGGAAGATTATGATAATTTTAGTCTGTTATTATTATTAGCTTTATTCAATATTATATTTTTGGTACAATATAGAATCCTCAGCACAAAGTATTTCAACAAGTTTCCGTTTCTTACTTCGTGGTCGATCCTGACGGTACATATTGGATGATCGCCAGTTAGATGTTAGCAGTTCAGGAATCAATATCTGAATAACGTATAATCTTTCCAATGTATATTGCCAGCAACCAAAATGACTCTGATTGTATTTTTCCTAACTTGTATAGAGAAAGGTTGTGAACGTTTCACAAACGCAACTGAATAGGTTATGCAATTAATTGACATGATGATCTGTTGAAACAAAAAAAGATAGATAGCTTGTTGAAATATCTAGATGGCAGGAACAGGTAGTTCAGATATTCAAGGAGATCGCCTTCATTTTTTAAGTACTATTGACTCTATAGTTACAATATTTCACGTTAGGACATTTCCTGGAATGAAAAAGTAGGAGATTGAGAAATCTCTTCGATGAATTACAATCATAGTTGAATTCATGAGTCAATTGAAGCTAGACCACCATGGAAAACCTGGGGGCACTGTACGGCCGTTTCGTCCTATTATGGGACTCCTCAGCGGTGCTCATCCACGATCCCGCACTCGCGAGATTCGAATTCAGGACCTATCAGTCTAGCGCCGAAGCACTTAACCGATAGACCACTGAGCTGGGTGGCATCAAACGGTGTTAATGTCTAACTTCAACCGATCCAATCAGACAAGTATGAAAAGTATTAGTGCAATTTGTTCTTATGATTATACGAATGGGATTAGTTTATCATAAACATTTGGATAGTATAACAAAAAAAGAAGATTATCAGAACTATATGGTATATTAGAACAATACATTTCGGACAATATGATCATATATACACGAGTAACATGTTTTAAACGGCCATTGAAATGCCAATTACCAGATCCATAAAAGTAGTGCATTTGATTCGACAATATCAGTCTTAGTTAACTTTATTGTCAACCATGTTTATTTCAAATAATGAAGCTGATTTGATATTCAGAGAGATGTTCGTTCATGTGGGATTCGTAACAGAAGTGGAACTCCAGAGACAACTGAGAGCCTATGAGAATGTGACTTTCTGACATTTCATAATACGATACAGTCATCAAAATACAAATGATTTTCATATAAAGTATGTGTGCAAACGGAAGTGTCACTTTCAGTGATCAACAACGAGGGTTTGTTTGAAAGTAAATTCTTTATCCATTGGTCTAGATAGCCTGTTGGTTGTGGTTGTGAATCCTATATATTTATTCGACTGATAGAAAACTTTTGCGCAGTCTCAAGATGGTCAACGAGTCATGATCACAAGTTGCTGCGTGACACTTATGAGAAAGATATTAGCTTTCATCGTTTGACAGTCGAGAAGAAGAATAAAATTCATCCTTTATTTATATCCGGAGACACAGTTTTTCTTGTCGTCAATTTTGTGTATGAAAGAAGAAAGGAAGAAAATAATCGCTCAAGATAATTTTGACTTGTTGCCTCGACATGAATACTGTTGATGAATCATATTAATGACTTATGAAAAAATTAAAAAGGTAGATTTATTTTCCACCACTTCACCCCGTACGAAACTTGCCAGCCGGTTGGATGTTATAGTCTAAAAGCTCTATACCTAGATTTATAACTAGTTTACAATCGTCACAGGTAGTGAGGTCACAAGTCAGGTCTCTGACAATAGGTGACGTGAGTTAAAGTCACACAAAATGCATCAGTTTACTTAAAATTTTAAATTCACTTTATTGTTGAGTGTCAGTCAGTCAGTCACAGCGTAGAACTTCGTATGTACGTAGATCAGTTCGAGCTGCCATACCACATTAGCACAGAGATGAAGTTGTCGATTCAAATCCCATAGTGGTCACCTAGCATGAAATTCATGGTTTCATACTGATTAAGTTCAACCACCACTTACCATTAAATATAGTGGATCGTAGTATAAGGTCGTTCATACTGGTGACCGAATGCCAGTTTTATTAATGGAGTTCAATCAACCTGAAAAAAACTATACAAGGCTTTACAAGCCACAATTCAGTGTACCTTAAAATGATATAACATCCTAATCCATTACTGAATATGAAAAAGATAAGCTGACTAACATGACACTTTTGAATGCTATAAGACCAATAAAATTAGAGAAGATTAGTAAGAGAACATTGGGAACAGTATCAGATGAAAACTATTACAGATAAGAACTACAACTAGTAAAAAGTGAACAGTTTGGATTAAGCAAATTATTGACTAGAATAAATTGTGTTGAACAGCCTGTACAACTAACCTGTTCTTCATTAAACTTCACTAATATCGGAAGACAATGCCTGATCCTCGTGGGGCGAGGTCGTGGATGCGCACTGCTGAGTAGTCCCATAATAAGACGAAAAGGCCGTCCAGTGCTTCCAGGTTTTCCTTGATGGTCTAGCTTCAATTGACTCATGCTTTCAACTATGAAAATACAATTTACTCACCAATATGCGGATGATAATTTTTCTGTAATTTCGTTTGATTTCCCAATAAGTAATGCTAAACAATTTACGAACGTAATGATGTATAAGATAAAAGGAAATTACATCCTTTGTTTATATATATAAAATGAATGATTGGTTATAACAAGAATAAAAAGTGATATTTTAAAATGATAAAACAATTTCAATGACATTATAAGCAAAGATAGATAGTGGTTGGCAGTGGAATCCAGAACGCGCGTTTCGTCCTATCTTGGGACTCGTCAGTTTGATGTACCTGCATCTCAGAGTTGATGTCCATTCTTTGTTAGTACGTTTACTTACTTATAAGTAATCAAACCATTTCATATAAAACATTTTGCAAGAAAAAATTTCAATTATTGAAATTCAAAAAAATTGAAATCTTATATAAGATTTGTACAACAATTTTCTTGTCAAATTGAGTTCAGTCAATTCCAGTTGCTTCGAGTTTTTCATAACTATCATGTAGAATTTTTGAAGTTAAATAAGAATCCGATCATTTACTTTTCTCAACCTATTCAAATTGATAATATAACTTGGACTTCAACCAATGTTAACACTGAGCATCAAATATGTTGTTGGTTTGACTGACTCTGTGGGTAAAAACTTTCAACTAGTAACTTATCATGTCTCTATGGGAGAGGGTTGATCACTAATACACTGTAATTTATGAATTATTCAAACAATTAAAAAAAATTTGTGATATTTCAATTTTAATGGTATTACCATGTTAATGGTCACTATGAAGCTGGCATTGGTCACTTTAGACATGAAAACTCCACTTTATGAGAATTCACTAAAGAAAGTTTAGACATTAATAAAGCAGATCTTCACGATTAAAAATCTTATGGTTTCAAACATTAAACCACTTATCCATTAGAGATCTCCTTCAGAATGTTTGATAATGGAAGACAGTGATAATCAGAACAATGTTTAGAATGAACAATAGTTATTACCAAAAAATGCCCTTTCAGGTTATTTGTTAATCAGCTTTAGTGTAAAGGGTTTGTACAGATAGTTAAATTACACTTATATTAATAATCAAATGCTAGTTAATGACTTAGCTTTAGAAAAAGTTCAAACAATTCTAGTGAGATATCATGATTAGGGAACTTCAATAATATCGCATGTTAGCCAGTTATCCTCTAATTTCAATAGAAGATACTTGCGAAATATCTTTACCGATTAAAGTCGCAAATGTGAACCACCAGACAGTGAATCCGTAGTCTATAGGCTAAATGTTCTCCTTCAGACATGAAAATCCAAGTTTTAATACCTGAGAAGTTCTATACTAGAACGAATAAGTTGCCATGTGTTTCCCGTTTTTCAGTGGTTATCTAATTAAGGTCAAGCCTTGATGTAAACTAGATAAAAAGAAATGTGTTCGGTTGCGATGATTTCCTATTTTATGGAAGTAAACAATACAACAGCGGCATTAAAATCTAGTTAAATATATCACTATGATCCCTTTATTGGAGTTGAAGGCTAAGAAGACTGGGGAGAAGAGAACGAGAACAAAGAATGATCGCTGTGGAAACAAAGGATTAATAAAGTCTTAGACGATTGACTGACATTTTTTCAAATGAAGTAATTACTATAAGGATCTTAGATGTTACTAAGATGTTCCGTAATTTTGTATTCAAATACAGTCGATTGTTCCCACCTATTGTTCTCATTCACTACAAAACGTGATCGACTTCTATCAGAAATGTATGTGCTCATCCTAATGTTTTTTTAAAAAAAAATTTATTTTTAGATTCATATTGATGCTCATAGTGATATGGATTATCCAGAATTAGTAGATGAATTTCCAATTGGTCATTTTCCTCGATCAAATAATGAAATGCAAACATTAATGCAATCCAATGATGAATTTATTCAGGTATGTATAAGAAAATATTGATTTAATTGAATTAGAGAAGTATAACAATTTTGATTGTTGAATTGGAATGTATATGATAGCCAAAACTTAACAAAACTGTTTTTAATATCAGAAGGGGTTTTTGTGGATATTATTGTAATTTTAATAGTTGAGATCATGAGTCAATTGAAGCCAGACCACCATGGAAAACCTGGAAGTACTGGACAGCCGTTTCGTCCTATTGTGGGACTGCTCCGCAGTGCGCATCCGGCTGTGGTCTAGAGGTTAAGCGCTCACACACGAGACTGATAGGTCTTGGGTCCGAACCTCGCGAGGCGGGATCGCGAATGCGCACTGCTGAGGAGTTCCGTGATGGGACGAAACAGCCATTCAGCGCTTCCAAGTTTCCCATGGTGATCTAACTTCAATTGACTCATGATCTCAACTATTCAAATTGCTTTTTTTTATGAATGAAAGAAGCCTATCGTATCTTTGATTTCCAAGCAAAATTTGAAAGATTTCAATTCTATAGTATTTTGATGTATTCATCAACAGTAACATAAACTGTACTTTACATCTATAAATCCTACATATGATTTTTTGAAAATGAATTACAACATGGAAGACTTAGATAATATTTTGAGAAGGAGACACAATACATAAAAATTATTGAATGTGCTTTTTTGAATTTGACATTGTTAACTGATACTTTGAGATAGTGGAGAAGATTTGCAGGCTCAGGTGGGTGATTTTGATGGAGTTTTGTATTCTGAATTGTATAGTTCGGTCGTGGAGCTTTCATCGTTCTTCTGAGCGACATCATCAACACAAACGTCGGGTAGAAGTGAAGTGTTTGAATTTCTCCACATATAGTTCACAGCTTGTCCAATCAATATCGAGGTGTACGGGATAATTATCCCATGACAGTATAATTTAGTCATGAGTTTCTACTTTCCAACTGTACCATCATTCCCTTTGTTTTTAACAAATACTCTGTTACTGCCTTAAACATAATTTTGTTACAACTCTGTCTTTCAAATTGTTTACCGTTTATTTCTTGACTTAAATGTATCCTAATGTTTTCATTTACGTAAATTGTTTAATATATATTCAACATTTTATGACGTTCTCATTATTTTTGATATAATACACTAGTTGTAGGTATACTATTAAGTGATCATATCACGCTCATGTTTCATTGTTTGAATACTCTTCTTATCTATTGAGTTGGATAATCTTAGTCTCGACAACTTTCATCTCTAAACAAAATTACTAATCCACCTAAATTAGTTCAACTGAGAGATTGGATTAGAAAATTGTTTGTAGAACTAAAACTGACTTACCATGAGGATTTGATTATGTAAGAATTAGTGACCTGAATGTTGTTCAAAAGAGCTCAACGAAGTTCATATATACAACATTATAATGATAGGAATTGAAAACCAGTTTGATTTGTATTACCTGATGAAACTTGGAGTTGAACATTGAACATTGGTCGAATTCATTTATCCATTTTTCCTAAATCATATTCTTTCTGTATTTATTATGAGGGTTAATATCTATGATAAATGACTACATTAAATTTTTTCTGGATGCTACCAATTCCCCTTCCAGCCCAGTAGGCCCTTCTGGAAAAGAGTACTACATCGAAGCACGGCACAACTACCGGTGCGGCATAGCTGTTTCTGCACTGCTTACTCAGAACTATTACATAACACTCACAATCCATTATTTTTGTTTTTTTGGGCAGACTCATTTTTACCACTCTTTTGAACCCTCAATAATTATGCAATGACTCTTTGTAGCATTCGTAATCATTCACAGGTATTGGTAGAGTGGTTAATTTGGCTGATCTCCACCACCCTAATTACCACTTACGTTAGTACATGAGATGGTTGCCATGATCCAGGAGGCACAACGAGGACGTTTGAGTCTAATTTTGCCTCCCGATGCCACCAATCATATTTTAAAAAAGGTTGTTAAAAAACGTTTTCAAATAATCAATACATTTGGTAGGTTTTGGAAGTTCAGATTATTCATATTGTTTACTAACTTTATAGATCTTGCTACTGCTTCTAGAAATTTAAAAAACCTTAAAGTCTGTGTTATCGACATGAATCTCTTTAGTTAAACTAAACCTGAAGGAAAAACACAATATTTTTCCGTTTTATAAACTTCATAATTCCAGTCACCATGGAAATGAGTTCTTACTCGTGATGAAACCTATCGGGTACACTTGTGATATATGCTACGTATGCCCGAAGATATAAGTAGTATATAGTACCAATCGGAAATACAATGCCTGTCAACAGAAGATTGAGAAAACTGAATTGAAGAAAAAAGAAAAGGAAACAGAGAGTAATTGTAATAACAACAGAGCTGAAAATATCATGAAGAATGTCAAGGGCATCTAGAGGGAGAAATGCAAATAAAATATTTAATATATGGTTTTCATATTTTTTAATTTTTTCTGGTTAGCGTTCTTTAGCCAGTTGGTTTTCTACGGGATGGGGTCGCTAACCCCATGCCCAACCCTCCTCCTTTACACGGGCTTGGGACCTGCAGTAGCCCCCGGAGGAGCTACAATTGTTTACGCAATATACTTCGGATCCGTTGGCCGGAAACTAACAGCAACAAGCTACTGTGGAAGACAACGAACCAGATCACAGCGCAGGAAGAAATCAGGAAGAAGCGCTGGAATTAGATAGGACACATATTGAGGAAATCACCCAAGACAAGGCCTCACATGGAATCCTGAAGGCCAAAGGAGAAGAGGAAGACAAAAGACATATTACGCCGAGAAATGGAGACAAACATGAGAAGTATGAACAAAAGTTTGATAGAACTAGAAAGGAAGGTCCAGGAGAGAGTGGGTTGGAGAATGCTGGTCGGTGGCCTATGCTCCATTGGGAGTAACAGACATAAGTGAGTAAGTAAGTAGGTTTCATATTTTACGGAAACACTCTGAAACTAGTTGGCACCACCAAGTCTTCGTTCACTATATTTGATATCGTTGCCAAAGAGGATGCGGAGAGGGTTCAGTTCTTTGGACGCCCTTGAAGGGCTGCAAGAGAAGTCTATAGGTAGTTCAGGAAGGATACTCAAGTGGAGTGCTCTGGATGGCCGTGGTTTTCTGTAGCAGTCACCGGCGACAGAGAGAAGAAGTGGGACGTTCAGTTGCCGGGCGGACACCGGAATCGAATGGTCTGGAAGATCGAGATTATTACGAAGGTCAGCTCGCTCTCGGTCTCCATATTTCGACGGGAGGCGTGGTACAGACTGCGATAAAGACGAGAGTGACATGGCAAGCAGAACGACCGCAAGAGTGATGTTTATTTGTACCCGCTGTTGAAAGTAGAATGCCCGACAGTAGAAGATTGAATTGAAGAGAACAGAAAGGAAATCGGCTGGGAATTAAAATAACTACAGAATTATGGGAATAATGAAGTATATAAAGAACAACGCGAAGACGATTTGCAAATGATATATTTAATGTATAAATTTTACCATAGTTTTGTTTCCCCACCTGATTCTCAGTAACTACGCACGCCATGGGAGCCATCACTTTCGAGTTAAAATTGATGCTCATCAGAGTTAGACTAAATACAAATGAAAACATTTTTTATGAATATCGAATTTAAAGTAGTTACGCATGCTGAAATCTTGAAAAAATGGATCTCAAAATGCCTGAATAAAACTTTCTACTCAGCTAAGCTCCGAATTGTTTTCTCAAGCCGGCCTACCATTTGTGGATGTGTTAAGGATAAACTTCCATTTTGGTCCAAACCAATGTCTGTTGACTGTATACCATCAGTAACAACCTACTATGGGAGAGAAAAAAAACCAGCTTCCAACTGAAGAGGAAATTAGGAAAAGATGTTGGAAGTGGATAGCACATACCAAACTGAATCACGAGGTAAGTGCTAACTCGGAATTCTGAAGAGTAACGGGAAAGAGGGAGTTCAAAGAACACACTGCGTCGAGAGTTGGAAGCAGACATCAGAAGGAAAGCAATTGGAATAGCAACTGGAAACAATTGGAAAGGATTGCTCAGGACAGAGTTAGATGAAGAATACGGGTGTATGACTTATGCTTCTGTAAGAGATGAGTTTGTCAATTTTACTTACATTAGTTTGAAAATATCTTTCGCAACTAATTAATTCCCATCAGAATTTGATGTTTCGTACAGAAACAACAATTGAGATTTTAGTCTGAATAGCTATTTATTCTAAACAATTACATTTCATTTTGTAATATCATTTGATTACCGAAAAATTTCTCTTCCCTGTGATAGACTTAAGTGAAAAGTATTTTGATCAAATAGAGTTGGATCAACTATATACATATTGAGAATACTTTACACTAGATTATAGACTGAAATTAATAATAGTGTAAGACAGTATTGTACATTTGGCAAAGTCGTTTATGTCCATTTTTTCTCCTATTGACCAATCACATCTTTAGTATCAGATGACATATTTTTCTATTTCAATATACATGAAATAGTTTCTGGGCACACAAAAATTATCAATACTGACATTTTTCGAAGCAGTAAATGTTTAAATGTCACCAAATTCCGACTATATGTAGAAAAAAACGCAAGAAATCAGCTTTACCGATGAAATCCACTTAACAAGTTAATGTATATATGTGTCTGTTTATATGTGTTTAATTGTAGTTAAGAGAGGTTTGAGCTAACATTTTCCTTCTCCACTATAGACAAGTTATGAAACCACAGAAACTTAACACATTTTCTTTTTTCTCAAAAAACAAACAAACGAGAAATTCTATTCTGAACATTCTTTCCCCCTAGTCTCGTTACAAACTATAGAAATAATGTATAGAATGGTTGTTGTAGATAGGTGTAATGGTATATATCACATCACCTCTAGTATATATGTGTATCCAAGATTGTAATAAATCAAATTTTTCGTTTGCTTATTTAGATTTTTTTGGGATAAATGAAATAAGAATATTAATAGCTAAACAATATAAGTCGGTTTCTAAAAATCAATACTAATTGAAAACCATTCTTACCGCAAATTACGTTTGTTGAATTTCATTTTTGTATTGACTTAATATACAGGTTACTTGTAAGAATCTATTACAATTATCCTAAAGTAAGATCTTAATATATATTGGTTAGTTGTAGTGCGGTGTGGGTTACTTATATCTACATAAGTAGTAGATGGTGATGGTCAGGCATAGAATGTATTTTGGCAGAAGATCGATAAGGAAAGAACAGGAACGAAGCGCAATCGGTATGGAAATGCAAGAACAATGAAATCAGAGAAGATGGACTAATAATTGCAGAAGGAACAGTCAAGACTGAAACTATGGATTGTTATTTTGCAAATTAACTGTTTACTGGTTGTCAGATTTTAGTAAGATAGTCTGTAATTTCCGTGTCAAACACATTCGATTGTTGTCCCCACCCGTGTTCTTGTTCACTACAGTAGGAGATCGGTATTAAATATCAAAAACTTCAATGTCGAGTCACTCAGACACCTGGGTGAATCGTATGATGATCAATGGAATTCGAACAAAATTTATATAGAATTATACAACATGAAATTAATTGGGAATTAGTAAGCGATGAATGTGATATTTCAGTCATTTCAAAACTGACCGGTTTGTTGTAAACATTTCCGGCAATGTTGGTGCCCATCCCCGCGATATGATTCCATAAAGAACGATGGAGTCATGAACATAAATTCTTCGTTTGATTTAGTATGTTCCAATTAGAATAACGCCGTTAGGGCTATCAAAGTAATAAGAAGCTAAATCCCAATTAAGTTAAATGAATTTACTTCATGCATACGTTTACTCAGACAGACGTTATGATGAGAGATGGAGAAGGCCGATGCGTCAACTCAATTTAATTAAAACGTAACTTAATATCCATGAAATACACACTTATGATTATACACACATGTTCAAAGTTACATATAAATGAGTAAATGAATGAGAGGATTCAAATAATTCATCCGTCCAAAGGTAAGGATAAATCATTTTGACATGTAAGAATCCTAGTTCTGGCAAATGTTTTATTTGAAATTCACCTGTAAAGCTGAGAAATCCAAATCATCAACTTGAAACCCCTGTACAGTAAAATCATTATTGTGAAAAATCAGTCTCTTGTCCATCATTACATTAGATTCTAGTTTCAGTATCAATCCATTCACAGTTAGTAGAAAATGTTTTTCACTCGTTGTTATATCTAAATTACTTTCAGCTGCTCCTAAAATAACTTTGGGAAGTTCATGTTATATCACTAATCAATGAGTGTAAAGGTAAATAAAATTAATACCTCACTGATAAGAAATGAGATAGAATACGTTTCTGTAAATTTGCAACTCATTTATTTCTCAATCCGTTCAATAAGTATATGGTATCAAGTATTTTTAGAAGATTTCCTGTACATTTACTGAGCAATTGTTGCATAGGTGAGCATAATGTTCATTAAGGATTTCATTTCATGTTCTAACTTTCAGTTTATCTGACTTCTCTCATCCCATAAGTTCGGAAACGCTAAAGCGGAGTGTTCATAAAAGACACGCAGATAGCTTTAAATTATTGGAATGAAATCTCCAGTGAAAATTATACTCCCATGTGCAACACTTACACACTGAATGCACGGAAAAATCCTTGAAAATTCTTGGTACTGCACACTTATTGAACACTTAAGAAAGGATGGTTATTGTCACACTGGAAAAATACTTACGCCAAACATTCACAGAGCTTTTGTCCACACTCATTCAACAGTATTTTTATTTAATAATAGCGGAGATGACTTGTTTGCATTATTCTAAAGTTCTTCAATTAATTTATAATGTTATTCTGTCAATAAGCTATTTATCCACCGATTAATAACGAGCGATACATTTTCAAACTCATGACAAAACCTCAAATCTCTATCTTGAATAGTTCAACTTGTGATATTGTTGAATTTTGCTGTCCGATTCTTCTGTCATATAGTTCCTGTGGTATACCACTCTCGCTATGTAAATAAAAAGACTAAGTTGCATGTAAAGATTTAATTTACAAACGTTTCTGATGGGAACTAAATAGTTGAGAAAGATATTTTCAAACTAACGTAAGTAAAATTGACAAATTCTCCTCTTCGAAAAGTATAAGCCAGACACCAGAATTCTGCATCTAACTCTATCCTGAGCAATCCTTTCAATTTCCTTCCAGTTGCCATTCATCATTTTCATATCTATTTCCAACTCTCAATGCAGTGTGTTCTTTGAACTCCATCTTTTCAGTTGCTCTTCAGGATTCCATGTTAGCACTTACCTCATTATGCAGTTTGGTGATTTCTTCAAGGTATGTCCTATCCACTTCCAACATCTTTTCCCAATTTCCTCTTCAGTTGGAAGCTAGTTTGTTCTCTCACATAGTAGATTGTTCCTGATGGAATCCAGTCAACGGAGATTCAGTATCTTGCATAGATAACTGTTTATAAATATTTGTACCATTTTGATAATGGTTGTGGTATTTCTCGACGCTTCAGCTTAGTACAGTAGAGTCGTTTTGACCTTCGTATTGAAGATTGTGACTTTGATATTGGTTGAGAGTTGTTTTGAGTTCGATATGTTCTTGAAATGATGCTTTTGCTTTGTCTATCATTGCCTTTACATCTGTATCTGATCCCCATTGTTCATCGATGATATTTCCCAGGTATGTGAAAGATTCCATCTCTTCCAGAGTTTCTCCATCAAATGTGATAGGGTTGGTGTTCTTCTTGTTGAATTTGAGGATTTTCTCTTGTGTGGCCTACTGATGCATAGGTTGTTGCTAAACTTGTCGTCTTGACCTACATTTGTTCGTGTGTATGAGATAGTAGGGCCAGGTCATTTGCGAAGTCCAAATCGTCTAGTTGCATCCAACCTATCCATTTTATTCCATCCTTCTCATCAAATGTGGAGGTCTTCAAGTGATTATGTTGGTGATTCTGACGAGTGCCAAGTTTTCCTGTTGACCACCTCCAACCACCATCTTATTGTTTAACTGTATAAATTTTAAAATAACAAATGAAACATACATTTTAAGAGTTTCTCTCTCTTTAAATATGTTTTTTTTTCAATTTTAGAGTGCAATTATTGCTAATCTTATTCAAACTGTATATATTATATATCCATATTGGACATTTAATGGTAGTTATGCTTATACATCTAGTTTAGGTATAACAACCATTAATAATACAAAACAAGTATGTATGTGTCTTGATATTAATAATAATGAAGAAGACGATGTAAATTGTAAAACACGTAATCAAAATGATACTTTAAATGATTTACTATTATCATTCAAACAATGTCCTAAAACATGGTTATATCATTATATTGAATTAAATTCATTAACAGCATCAAATATATTACATTATTCAAAATATTGGTCATTCAATAAAACACTTTTCAAAAACGGAACTGATTCAACATTCAATCCAAATAAACAAACAAATGATCACCATCATCCTCATCCTCATCATTTACCTTTAATCCTTGATATTGATGAAGATTTTTTTGGTGTACATATTGTTACTAATACATTATTCAAATCTGGTTTAAATTATGATTTTATTCAATCAATAAATTTAATAATTTCATCAATATTTTGTCCAATATCATCATATATCAATGAAAATGTTATTGATCAAATTTTTCATTGGTTAATTCAACAAATATATTTTCATATACATTATAATAAAAATAATCAAAAATCAATAATCGATCATTATCGATTGGATATCTTAATAAAAAAAATCAACAAAACTCTTCAACTTACTGATATATTATGTAATCATTATCAATTATATATTATTAAATTAAATCAATTATTTATTAATTATACAATTACTTATGATCAAATGAAGATAATAAGTCATATAGGGGTATGTTATACTTATTCAATATTAACATATCAATATATACCAGAGATACATTTATGTTTAGGACATAATTTACCTAATACAACATTAATAGATGAATATTTACCAACATCTAAAGATTTATTAAAATTAGCTATACAATTTACACAAATATTATTATCTATTCCATATTTACCTAATATTATTACTATAGCACGTTCATCACGTGATGGTTATACACCTAGATGGTTACAATATCATATTGAAACAATGATATTAAATATAATAAAAACTGTATTTAATTTAACTGAAAATAGTATTATTTTTACGAAACATTTAGCTGGTGATAAATATTATGGTTGGTATGAACGATTTACAAGGATAAATGACAATTTATAAACTTGTAAATATTACTTACTTACTTACGCCTGTTTGCCCTCGTGAAGGAGCCTAGGCCACCGATCAGCATTCTTCATCCAACCCTGTCTTGGGCAAACCTTTCCAGTTTTTTCCAAGTTGTTATTTATCCTTTTCATATCTGCTTTTATTTCATGGCGTAATGTGTTCTTTGACTTTCCTCTTTTCCGTTTCCCTTCTGGATTCCAAGTTAGGGCTTGCCCTGTGATGCACATTGGTGATTTCTTTAATGTATGTCCTATCCACTATCAACGTATTTTCTTAATTTCTTTTTCAGCTGGAAGCTGATTTGTCCTCTTCCATAAAACGCTGTTGTAAATATATATCATTAAATTAAATTAGTTTTTTTTGTGGAAGAAATGATGTCATTGAAGTGTTATAATTTGTAGCCAAGTGGATGTATAAACATGAAACGGAAACAATGATTCGAACTAGAATCTGTTTGACACTCCGATCACTTAGGTGTAGATGAATTGCACTTTTTTAAAAGGTAAAAGGCTATATCGATAAAAATTTGTAAACACTTTTCTCTTGTCGTTATGAGAAGCAATTTCCTCGTTGTTTGTTTGGCTTTTTGTATCACATACCTGTGATGTGGAGAGAAGTGGACCACTAGGAAAAGGCCACTTTAGAAAATGAGACGTTTCTTTGTCAGTTATTTATATCGAAATGTGTAAAATTTCAGGAGATAAACTCATACGATGAATATGAAACATAGACCACCAAATTTCATTGAAAGGAAATACAAAATCAGTTGAACACATATTTTTAGACATAAAAAATGAACCGAACTAAATTTCTGCTTGGGAAAATGTTATAACTTGTAATCGAGTGGATTCCCTGCTAATGTATAACGTGATAATACCGCCAATTAGAGAGCAGCGAATTATCGATCGGACCAATGACACAAGAAACTCGTACAAACAGTCTAGAGTACGTATCGGTCCTGCTTTTGCCTAGCCCAGCCAGTTAACTCCAGAACACCAATAACAGCCTCTGTTGTATGAATCATTATATTTCAAACGTACTAAGTTTGTATACCAAACAGAAGACCGTATCGTACCAATAAAATAGAAAATAGCATTTGTACAAGATTTAGCCAAATGTGACTGTGAATGTGGGAGGCAGTAATTAATAGACTCAAGAATGGTAAATCGTATAATAATAGTTTATAGTTCAAAATAAAGCTTATAAAGGGGAACACGAATATGAATAGTTTAGTTATTTAGCAATTATATGATAAAAAATATATGCAAAATATTGGTTCGTAAATAGATCCCAAAGTTACGGGGTATAACATGAAGAATGCTCTCGTCACAAATTTCCAAGGGCTAAGAATTCTTAGTGACTTCCCCGTAAAAAACATTGATAAACATTCATAGAATTCAATAGAAGAACTCTGGGCAAATCTATTGCGATTGTCACTCAATGTTATCAGTGAATTATCTCACTCCAGACATGGTTACAACTTAGAAGTAGAACTTTATGAAACTTGTATTGAAACCATTCAATAAATGACGATTATAAGGATGATTTTAAAAAAATAACTATTGTATTATTTGATTCCGATTTGTATTATTAATTGATATCAACCATTTTCAATGACTGTCGAGTTCAATTCAGGTGAATGACTAAGATTACCATCAAGTTATTTTTGTTATTAAAAAATAAAAATTAAAAATTTTGTAGTATGTTTTAGTCATTCAAAAGTATTGTACTCGTCTTGTCACACTTGATGGCGAAACTCTAGAAGAGGTGGAAACATTCACGTACCTGGGAAGCATCATTGATAAACAAGGAGGATCCGATGCAGATGTAAAAGCAAGGATTGACAAATCAAGGACAGTATTTCTACAATTGAAGAACTTATAGAACTCAAAAAAACTCTCAACTAACTTCAAAGTAAGAATCTTCAATACGAACATGAAGACAATCCTACTGTATGGAGCTGTAATGTGGAAAACTACTACATCCATCGTCAAGAAGGTACAAGTATTTATGAACAGTTGTCTACGCAAAACACTCAACATTCAATGGTCGGATACTCTCAGCAACACCGTTTTATGGGAGAGAACAAACCAGCTTCCAGCTGAAGAGGAAATTAGGAAAAGACGTTGCAAGTGGATCGGACATACACTAAGGAAATCACCAATATGCATCACGAGACAATCGCTAACTTGGAATCCTGAAGGGAAACAGAAAAGAGAAAGGTCAAATAAAACATTACGCCAGAAAGTAGAGGCAGATATGAAAAGGATGAATAACAACCAGAAAGAACTGGAAAGGATTGTCCAGGAAAGGGTTGGATGGAGAGGACTGGTGTGTAGTCTATGCTCTTCCACGAGGGATAACAGGCTTAATTATGTAAGTACTTGTCTTTTGTTTTTACCACCCAAAAATTCTTCGAATAAAAAATAAAACAAATATAGTTCAAATTTTTATTATTTACACTCGCCCATTTATTAATGAGCAAATTTTTTTTTATACCTTCGTCTGTTGTACTCCTTAAACCTGTCATCTGATAAGATTCATAATTTTAGATGAATATAAAAGGTAATAATTTTGTTCAATCATTATCTTTTAATTAACAATGAGTTCTAATAATCACATGATCACTGGTTTAGATTCAAATTCGAACATGGTTACCGATGGAGATAATTTGTTTCTCAGTATACTATAGTTTTTATATATTTATGATGAAATGTATGCACATAGATACATTAAGTAGATGTTTTTTTATGACATTTAAACCGATTATTACATTTTTTCAAAATTTATCTTTAGGGAGAAATAAAGATCCAATTGTTTTAATATCAGCGTAATTCTTCAATAAATCTTGTCTTTAAACTTTAGGAAAGTAAATTTCCTTTATCAATGAGAACCATAATTAATGTGATAGTACAATGAAAATTAAGAAATATGTCTCATATTGTTTGATTACTTAGTATATCTGTATTGATTTTCTTAAAGAAATATATACTCAACATACTTAAACAGCGATATTAATAAGTCGACTGAAAATGTTGCAGGTTTTTACAACCGAGATTCTACTAGAATAACGTATATAAGGGTGTATAGAACTACCATGTGAATTGAACTTGAACATAAACGCAATCATGGTAAGCAAAGATGGATATTGGCTAGCAGTGGAATCCAGGACGCGCGACAAGTCATATTTGGGACTCGTCAGCTGGATGTACCTGCATCTCAGAGTTGATATTCACTCTGGGACTCGAACCCAGTACCTTTCGCTTCAAACGCCATCGCCACTGAGTTCTGATAGCCACTTTGTTTAAAATTATGTCGCATTCCCAAGTTATCCGATTTATGGAGAGATATGTACGGTTCACAGAAGTTTGACCAACTTATTACGCAAGTAAAAAGACTGAAAGTTACTAAGAAGCTATGATTGACACACCAGGAAAAATGTACACAAATCATGAGTGTACTTGCATTAGTCATCCTGAATAAGCCCTGACTAGGTGTATGATGGGCGTCAGCCATCAGTGTCCTATGTTTGTCACCTACCACTTGTCCTAAAGATGGTGAGCGAGAACAGTCTAAACTTGTCCAGTTTATCAAACTATGTAGAAAACAAACGGTATCCCTGTTACTAAATGTTGGAAAAAATGAAATAGTTGATAATATGTGAATCTACCTATTTAATAAAAAGTGAGCTTTATTTAGTGGTCAGTTATTTTGTTCTTAAAATCTAATCTATCCAAATAGCTACCACTTAATGTTATTTATCACTAAGCCAGTGTCTAACTGTGTTAATATTTAACTTCAAGAGTCCTTACAAGTTTTCAGTGGCATTCTAACTTAGATAATTTCGTGATTTTAATGAAATTCGACGATATCAACAATCTAAATGCTGGCAGTTATAATGTACTCACTAGTGACTAAATTCAGAGTTCTGGTCAAAAGCCGTGGCCAGTGAAGTTAAACCGTGTCAATTATGAGGCAGTTACCCACTCAAGACAATGAAAGATGGTCGAGCAGCGTCATGAATAAATTAAAATTATACATCAACACCACTGGATGCCGACTCATTTATCTAGAGGTTAAGCATTCACACGCAATACTGAAGGTCCTATATTCGATTTCCGCGTACGGAAAAGTGAGTATGTACTACTGAGTAGTTCAATACTCAAGCAAAACGACCATTCAGTGCCCCCAAGTTTTCAATGTTGATCTAACTTGAACCGGTTCATAATTCCGATTAAATTTGTTCTTTGTCTTAGCGATTGTTATTGAAAGCTTGATTCCTTTTTAGAAAAGTACTTTCTTTAACTTAAATAGACATTAGCATTTACTACTACCGACTTTTCTGAATAAATTTAATCGTTTAAATAAACAAAAAAATGGTATTTTATCCAAGTAAACAAATATTTCACTTACTTTATCTTGTATAAATAATTCACCAAGAAATAAATTAATATCCTAATTAAATGCTTGTTCCAAGCCCGGGTAAAGGAGGAGGGTTGGGCATAGGGTTAGCGACCCCATCCCGTAGAAAACTAACTCGCTAAAAAAACGCTAACCAGAAAAAAATTATTCAAACCATTTTAACTCTGCCCTGTTGGTTGAAAGAATAACTATGACGTCTCATGATGAAAGCCAAGTTCCTTCTGAAGTCATGAGGCCAATGCACCTTCTAACAATCAGAGCAACAATTTTTATATAAGCATATGGAACGTCCGAACAATATGGGAGACCGGAAGAGTCTTCCAAATTGCTGCAGAAATAATATAACAAGGTATTCATTTAGAATTAGGACTTTTCACACAAAAAAAAGAATTCACTATCAATGGTTTTATTAACATTCATAGCATAAATCTGAACACAAAAGAAAGGAAATACAGACGCACACACACACACAAACAAACAAATATACATACATATTGAAATCCAGTTGAAAAATGTAAAATTTGATAAAACTTTGAGAACTAAAAAGAAAGAAAACAATAAAGAGACACCAATAAATAGTCAATTAACAATAAGTATTAAACAGAAAGTAACATAATTATGGAGAGAGATATGATTAGGTCAGGTAAACAATCAATAATAGTAGCCATCAGAAGGGGTGTTTTGGTCATGTTAAATATCACAATAAAATATGTAAAGGAAATTTACAGTTAAAGACTTTAAAATTAAAGATTGTTCAATGATCAATATTTTATTAAAATAATAACAGAAAGGTGGCGGGTAAATATAAAAACATAAGTCTGTATAAAACGAGAATAATAATAATAATGTACAACATAAGCCTTCAAGTATATACTTTTTTTAAAGGAATGAATTATTGAAGACATCTTTTCTCTCTCTATTTATTGCACAATTATGGTGAAATGATTTCAAATTGAAGAAGTCAAGATATACATTCATTAATACATTTAAATAAATGCAATAATATTCAAGATTAAATAGTCAATAATGAGCGGAATTTGAATTCAACATTAATTAAAACAATAATTTTTTTAAAAATTATAGTTGAACTAACTTCATTTTCTGATCGGATCCCATCGATATCATCCTGTTACGTAATAATAGTAATAATAATAATAATAACTATTAATATTATTATGATACACACACTGTATTACTATGTGAATGAAAGCGTATTGTATTTGAACAGATAATATCCCATTAAGATATAAATAGAGTTAAAGTATATTTTATTAGAATGTAGTTCTTCAGTTCAAAAAATGATCACAATACGAGAATATTGAATTATAGATTGAGGATACTTTGAACATGATATGCTGTTGTAGAAACTTCAGATTGATAGGTCATATTTTTGTTTGATTAAGTTTCTTATCCCAAATGATCAGTGAATTCTAATAGTGATTTAGTTCAAAAGTAAAAGTACCAATGAATTGTAAGAAACTAATTACGTGGAAATAAATAGATAAAGCAATCTAGGAGGTTTGTGGAGATATTTCGATTTTATAGTTTACATCACGAATAGAAAATTATGGATAACTAAGAAACAGTGAACATCTGTTTTCCCCAGTATGGGACTACTCAACAGTGACCGTCTACAGTCACAGCGTAAAGAACGCCCCCAAATGCCCTGGTACGGCCGAGAGTGGCGAGAGTCCACTCTCCCTCTCAAAATGCTCTCACATGGCCACACGTATATAGCCTCTGCCACGGAAGTCCTACTCACTGCCTTCTCACAGTGGCATTACTGTTGTTTACGAAATTGAGAGGACGAAAACCGAATGTCCGGCAAGAGCTGTAACCGGGTTGGTGGAAACGGAAAGTCCACCTAGAGGAGTTGGAAAACCCTGATTGCAAACCAATGATGCACATGGGCTGGATCCAGTATGCTGAGGGAACAAATGGCGTATGAATCAATTGTTGGTCACCGGCTACCATGCGACTACATCTCCTTACGATGCTCTACTGCTTTGTGGGTCAGACCTTTAGGTCAAAGGCTCCGGGTGTGGGCCCCTAAGAAAACCACCTGCTTCATTTTGAGCACCTGGTCAGTATCCCAGCCCTCATAAAAATCAAAAAAGGAGATTTGTGCGGCGCATATGTATCTGGTGCTTCCTTTTACCAATATTTATGTGTTGAAATAAATAAATAAAAGAATCGAACATAGAATCTTTGCTTTCACGCTCAAGCGCTTAACCTTTAGATCACTTAGCTGGTATCCTATGATTTACGTGTTTAACTTCCATCAATTTCTAATGCCACGCAACCATCTTCCAATGTACTTGGACGTAGTTGAACTCCACTGATCATGAATTTTTTTTTAGAACTTCGGAATTACTTCTCGAAATTAGTCATCACTAAGCATATAAATAATTACTACACATGGAATTTCCTGAATGCACATTATTCAAGAGTCCCATAACAGGATGAAACATCTGTCGCAGTAGTTGTTTAGTTAAGATCAGTTCATGGAGTTAACTATGAAATAAGTAACTGTAAATTACTATATTCCATAAGTATCCTATAGAAAAATAAGTTTAAACTTGGAGATTAAATCAACTACTACTGAACTTTATCAACAAAAAAATATCAAAAGTTAGACTTGATCTAAATTTGTAGTTTATTGTTGATTAACATCTATAGATTAGTCAACAACAACGACAACAACAACAAAAATTGAAATTAAAATAACCATTATATACAATGAAATAGAATGAAACTTTATACCTTAGAGATTAAATTTAAGTTATTAACAAACATTCATAAGCAATTACTTTTGTCAATGGAAACATAAATTAATTTAAAGTGTTGTATTTAATTATTGTGGTAAACAATGAAAACTTCTATATCATATAAAATATATTATATATATTCATTTGATCTCAGTCAGTCAGCTACAACGTAGGACAAAGCACATACATGCATCAGTCCAAGCTGCCATACCTCATTCATTAGCACAACAAGATAAACACCGAATTCATAGAAGTAGTTAATTTAGTGGTTGTAATATATAAAACAAAGGTTGTATATAAGGATATAGTATAGGAAGGAAGACAGATATGAAGCAACCTTAATCTCAAGGTTTAAGGGAAGACAGAAAGTGTATACACCTGCGCCATTGGGATCGATTCTGAGTAATATCACCTAGAGTCTCCAACCATTGGTTACGATAGTCATGCGGATCCCAACCATCTAATCTGTTTTTTATTGACTAATGATAAATTTAACAATAAATTTCCTCTAATTACTCTGCACTATTCAGATTATAAATGTATTATTTCAAGTGAAAATTAATCAGCTAAAGTATTTTAGTAAAATTTATATTATTAATATTGAGGATTTGAATGATCTCATCGTTTATAATCAACATTAAATATTGATCACTTTTTGTTGAGATACCTTCGTCCTTTTCGGATTGCTTCAATATAATCACTTGGTTACAAGTTTTGAATTAAACAAATACTAGTTCAAGTCTCAACATGAACAATAGAATGCAGGTACGTGAGACTGATGAGTCCCATATCGGATGAAATATAAGTCTTAAATTTACTCTCAGTAATAATCTATTTACTTTATTATAAATACATATTATCAGTACAATTAAATGGAGCTTACTTTTTATTCCATGTACAGTATATAATTATAACATTAAGCACGTGTTTGATGATTACTCCGTGTTTTAATTCGTTTATCTTCATCGTTGTTTCCAGTATCAGAATCCCAAAAATAATCATCATCAGCATTTAAATCATGTTCATTTGATAATTTTTGTACATTGACCACCATAGCATCAACTTCAGCATCTATTGAATCTTGAATTAAATTAGGATTTGAATAACCACCGGTCAATGGATTATTTATGTTGACTTTTGTTAAATAATGATTATTATTGTTATTGTTGCCATGATTATCCGTAGTAGCAGCAGTAGTAGTAGTGGTATTAGCGGTATGTTTATCCTTCATATGATTACATAAACGTATATAAGGTATTGGTCCACGAGTATGCAAATTATATGATGAATTAGATGATGTTGATGATGTAGTTATAGATGCAGGATTAATCACTTTCATCATTTCAACTTGATCTCCATCTACATCTATGTCTAGTAAACGTGAACGACCAAATGAAACTCCAGTCTCTGTTGTGTCATTATTAAGTCCATAACGATTTCTTTGTCGACGGCAATAACGGAAAAATGCAAATACTATGACTAAACTAAATAATTCAAGTGAAACACCAAGTAAAGGCCACCAAACAGATGACCAAACTGTTAAAAATAAAATAATATTGAATAATACTGATTATTATTAAATAAGGGAAAGAATAAATTATGTTCATTTACAGTTAGTGCTTATTATTATCAAATAACAAACATTTGCTAAGAAGAAATTCTCAGACATTAGGGAATGGTGGAGAATCCCGTACTAAGGCGAAACAGCCTTCCAGTGCTTCCAAGTTTCCATTGGTGATTTAATTTAGATCGGTTCATAATTTCAACGAAATTTAACAATCTTCAAAACCCCTTACTGACTGTTTTAGAAGACGGTTACACTTCACTGTTGGTGGTGACATAAGTTAAATAAAAACTAGAGACAATCAAAGCAAGACATGACGCGAACTTAGGGAGTTATTATTTATAATTTCGAGCCATGTTAGTAAGTGCAAACTATCCGGTAAGGGTCAGTGTTATAACTGTGATTAGTGGTTGAACTGTTTGAATGATAAGTGGCTCATAATTGGTCATAATGATGCAGACGAATTTACTCTATCTTCTCTTTTGATCTATAAAACCAGTATCCATTAAGAATTACCCTTTCACTTTATCTTTTTAAACGATATTCTTAAAGTTCAGTCCTCCTAATTTTCACTGCTATTACACTATTTCAATCGGATTCACTATTCATATTGCTAATTTTTTGTCCCTTCGTGCTAGTGTGGTATGTTAACTTGGTTCAATCCACATTTATACCAGGTTCCACGTTGATGATGACTGGCCACTAAGTGAAAAAAAATTCTGCAAACCTAATCTTTCCATACATTTTAGTACCATGTAAATAAGCATAGGATTATTGGTTTTTAAAAGTTATTTGAAACTCATTAAAATGTAAAAAAATTTCTTCGAAATAATCATGTTACTAACACAACTAATACTGTCGGATTGACCATCATATTTTAAAAACATCAGCTTTGACATCTTTATTGAATATATATATATATATATATATATATATATGTTCATGTTCGCACTGGGGCTTGGGCCTCCTACGTTTTGTTTAAAACACTTATTGTATCATCCACTAAACTGCTGAGAGCAGAGAGCAAACTTTTAATTTTATTTAAACACCTAAACATCGGTAAAAAGAGTTATCAAAATATAAATGCGTCACATAATGTTGTTAGAATTAGAGTTATGTGTGTGATCGGATACCGTTCGGGTGCCCAAATTGAAAGAGGTGATTTTCTTAGGGAACCACTTCTCTGGCCTTTGGCTAACAGATCTAATCCACAAGGCAGTGGAGCAACGCCAGGAGGTATGGTCCCATGATAACCTGAGAACAAGAATGGGTTCATGTGCCAATGTTTCGTCAGGATCCTGGAGCCCACGCGAACTGTTAGTTAGGTTCTCCAAACAATCTAAGTTGATCATCGGTACCCACCAACCCGGTTTAGGCACTCTACATTCGTTTTTCATCCTCTCAATTTCGTAAATAACACTTCAGGAGAAGGAAAGAAGTAGAAATTCCCTAACAATAGCTATATACGCATGGCTATATGAGAACATTTCGAGAGGTAAGGCGGGCTATCCTTGCCCTCGGTAGTACCAGGGCATTTGGGAAAGATAGTCAACTTTACTCAATGAACTTAGCTTATAATACCATCAGCTATATTATCATTATTCAATTATCAAAAAAGTCATATTTTTGGATCAAGGGCAGTCAATAATAATCTTTCTGATTGGTTGCTCTTACCAAATTTTATTATTGTCAGTATTAAGATTCAAACTGCTTGGTTAACTAGTCTAAACCACATAGGTTTTGAATGAAAAGTAATCCCATATAACTGAAACTAAGAGTGCCTGATCAACAATTAATCTTATTCTTATGTAAATGCTTGTTTACTTCATGTGAATACAGTCACTCTTTTGAATAGGTGTACATATGTAAATGCCAATCTAAGATATTCGTAATAAATTTCTTTACTACTGATTAGTGCTTACTGATGATAAGTAATATTATATACGGCTTTCGCAAACATAAAGGTTTTAACTAAATGATTAAAGGCTATCTATAATAGCCGCCTTGGTTGGTAAGCCTATTCTTTTTATACAAAGATGATTATTTAATTTGTATATATAAGTTTTGAAACAGCACTGTCAATGTAACTCCTGTATCCTACGTTCTGATTCATTTACGATAGACAATTCTTATAGTATACCTAGCCGATTGTAGAAACGAAAAGACTGAAATGAGTGGAAAAAGTTAATTTCCAAACGGAATTCAAATATACACAAATCATAGATGCATCTAAATTTGTCCTTCTGATCAACTTCCTCTAGTAGTGTATTTCAGTAATCCGATCATTATAATGTTATCTGGATTAGAAAACATATCGCTTACCAGGCTTTAGTTTTACTTAGTATCTAATGTTGTATTTGACTACTATATTGATAAGGGACATACAACTGTCAGTACTCCAGTATAGTAGCTACACAACAAGGTATAGAGATACCAAGTTAATAATTCTATGATTGACCGACATAGTATAAATTTACTGTGATATACAAAGCAGCAGCTTTCTATTAAGACAAACTACTTAGTAAGTACACAGCAAACTTAGTACAAAAAATTTAAAACCTAATCTAGTCTAAAGGAAAAATAACTTTTCTTGTTTTCATGATCAGTAATTTATGAACTGACACCGTAATTTGCGAAGATAACGTTTAAAAAAATACGCGGAAATCATCTTAAACGAAACGTTACATATAGTGGAAATTTATAAACTACTATTGAAAAAGCCCAAATGAGGAAACGAATTATATATACATAACCATTATTTATTGTCTACAGATCGAATTCTCAGCTATAACTACCCTAATTATAAATCCTTAAAAGCAAACAAGGCTTAGTACCTGTTAGCTATTGGATTCCTTCACATAGATTTGATTGAAATGCTGCCTATTGAGAGAACTTGAGAAAAATTTTAGAATTCTTAAAATAAACGCTGTTGGATACTTGTCTAAATCTACGTGAGAACAGCTTTCTCTCCCCACAGTTATGATGTAAACCAAATTATTATGCTATAAGGTAAAAATAGTTTCTTTTCCAATCATACTCTAATTTTAGAGAAATATACAGAAGTGACCAACATTATCTTCGTTAAATATCAAATCTAGCATACTATGAATGTATGTATCTTAGGAATATATATAAGAACTTTCGTCTAAATTATAGCGAATAGTTTCACAGTATTTGGGCGCCGAGTTGATGTAAGACACTAAATAGGAATAATATATTTGTGAAATCTCAGCGGATGAAAAAGCTTGGACCAGATTGCTAGGCGAACCGTTGGATTTACTTCAAACTCATTCGCTGAAATTTTACAAATATATTATTCCTAATTAATGTATTAAGAATACATGTATGAATATATGTATATTAGGAGTGTATTGCCGGGAACGTTTCGTTATTAAACTGCTGTCGCATCAAGTTGATTGATTAGTTTTTATTTGATCTATGACAATAGTTTGTTTAAATAATAACTACTGTTTAAAACAAGTTACTTATTACATAGAATATAATTTAAGTCATTCTTCTCAAATACTTACTTGAATATCCATAATTTTCAACAGGACCAGGCCACCATGTTGTTGTCTCTCCAATATCATTTTTAGCCCAACACCAAAAAAGAATGGGGCCAGATTTAGCTGGATTAGAATTCTTCATTTCATTATTAATAGTAGTTAATCTACGTCTACGCTCCAATACTTTCCATGGTCCATATCCATCTGTTTCACCATCGTTTAATAATATTGAAAAATCAGAAAGTACGTTTGCTTTGCCCACTTCTTGCACTCGTCTTATAATGTAACCTGCCCATTGTGGTTGTGTCCATGCCCAAGCAAAATTTTTAGATTTTACTGGTGGATAAGCTACAACAATTTCACAAGCATTTGTCCAATTTGAATTATTTTCATTAATAATTGATTGACATGAACTACTCATACACATATAACGACCAGATGAATTAGACGGAGGCAACGGTGGGGGATCATAATTCAGACGTAAAATGGGAGGTACTAAAATTGAAAAAAAAAATTAAAAATTAACGACAATTACTATCGTAGCATACAATAAAAATATATGGAAAAGTTGATTATCGTAAGAGGAGAAAAGAGTGAAACCACTTGGTTACTGTCAAATGATTATTTATGGATTACGATTCTTCTAATAAAAATATCGTCAATAAAGGTACCTCAGATCGAATCAAATTCTACATATATAAGCTTAACATATCTGTCTTTTTTCCTGTACTATATTCTTATATGCAACCTATCTTTTATATATTACCACCACTAAATTAACTACTTCTACGAATTCAGTGTTTATCTAGTTGTGCTAATGAATGAGGTATGGCAACTTGAACCGATGCATATGTGTGCCTGGTCCTACGTTGTAGCTGACTAACTGATATAAGCTTAAAGGAAGTATTCATTCTCTAAAATTAATCATTTCCCTCAGATTGTAAATAATGTGCTATCATAGTTTCTAACTCTGTTAGTTAATGAATACAGTGTGACTATGACACATCATTACTATAAATTCAAGTTAATGATTCATTAATTCTCATTAGCAATTTATATTTATTTTAAACTGAAAAGTTGTCTCGTTACTACTTCAGTCAGTCACAACGTAGAACTTCGTACGTACGTACATCAGTTCGAGTTGTCATACCACATTAGCACAGAGAAACAGTTGTCGATTCAAAACCCATAGTGGTAGAAGTAGTAAGAGTATAAGCATTATGTGAAAGATTAGGGTTTGAAGATATTGTTGAAGGAGTATAATACAGTGAAATAAGTTTGGAAAGAGAAAAAGGATAGAGACATGAAGAATCCAGAAGATTAGAATTCGGTAGAACACAAAGAGTGGATGCACTTTCGCCACTGCAAACGACTTTGAGCCATGTCATTCAAGGTCTCTAACATGGCCTCGTTACCACTTAGAGGTAATCAGTGATTCTTTATAAGTAATTTAAGCATAAACTTGTTGTAAATACCAGTACTTAGTGGCAATATTTTTAAATGTGGTTATGAAAAGTTCCAGATAGATTCCATTTAACAACTTCACTACTATCTAGTTTCAATAAATTTACTGTCATTGTTCACAATGAAAACATTATTCAACATTATTTACAGACTATAATTAGTACTGATAACTAGGGCACAAGACCGATACGTCTACTATGGTCTATTAATGTTAGCAAATAGCAGACCAATCGCTAGGGAAAAAAATTCAATAATTAAAAATAAAATTTTATATTCCTTTTTCGTTTTTATTTTAATGATATTGGAGATAGACTGTTTAACGGAGATTCATCATTGTTCTTTGATATATTATAAAAAGTGCCGAGACTAGATTATGTATTATTTTTAGTAATAATGAATCTGAAGTTCAACTATATCATACCAAATCATTCGAGGTGAAACGAAAATCATTCTTACCAAAGGGAATTCGAGGAGATTGTTGAGTTTTATAGTTTCATCAGAGACTGTTCTTAGTCGAATAATCATTAAAAACCACGAAGTACTAAACAAAGGTTTCACCCTAGAGTAGGAATTCTTCAGAAATCCTCACTCACGACTCTGCCGGAGATCGATTCCATGACATTCAGATCTCAGTGTGAGAGTTTAGTCTTTAAACCACTAAATCCCAAGGAAATTGTATACACCTAAAACTTCAATCAATTTTCATTATTTATTGATCTCCTCCTAATGTTATTTGAGGGCAACTCCCATATATCAGACAGTTTTTTTTACAAGAAATCTAAGAATTATCTCTCAAAATTATTCACTAATAAGCATATGATTATTATTAATATGTGAGATTTGTAAATAACGTTTAGTTTAGCCGTTTTAGTTTCCTTGTCTATATGTAATGAAACTGAAGATTCAGTTAATTATATAACAGATATTGTATGTATGTTTGCCTAATAATATAATTTTAAAATGTAATTATATTTGAAGAAAAAGAACATATTTACATGATTATCAATGTAATGAAACGATGATTACCATTTAAATGGACTGTTGCTACAGCATATTCTGATTTTGAAAAACTAAATAAACACTGATATTGACCAAATATTCGTTGATCAAGAACTGAAATATTGATAAGGAAAAACAATAAAAAAACATTGTTAATCTTCGAGGAAGTAAACTTATCACCATGAACTTTCAAATATAAACTAATTATTGTTATGCAAAGATGGATAATGGCTAGCAGTGGAATCCAGGACGCGCGTTTCATCTTTGCTTACCATGCCTGTGAATTAAGGCCATATCGAGGCAATACGCACAGTATGCACATATGCCAATTAGAGACTGACCAGTTGCAGTCCTAACACACAGATGGGAAGATTCAAACAAACAATACTAAATGAATTTAATTATTGTTATCATTTTAACCAGTATTAAGTAGGGGTTGAAACGTTCATCAATCAAAAGATTAACTTTTATCAGTTTAACTAAATTGAAAAACATGTCTTTCACCAAAGTGATGGTACACTAAAGCTTCTTGGATATAGAACTGATTTAGCTCAAGGTTACTGGAGGTGCATAAATAAATAAGTAAATAAATAAAAATAAATAAGTAAATAAATAAATATATGCAACTGTAGATAGTTTGATAAACACCTAAGTAAATAACCATATAAATGCTCCACTCACATAGGTTAACTGTAGCCTGAATTGTTCATTAGTTACTTCTCAGGCTGCATAGTTGAGTGATTCGAGTTAGAAACCTCGAGCGTAAGTTGCCTCAAGATTGCAGATACGTTTTGCTGAATAGTGCCGATCGGCGCAAAAACTAAGTCCACGGTTCCAAACAAACTTTAGGCTTTAATAGATGACGTCTGCGAAGTAACTCTCACTTGACTGATGACTTATTCAGTGTAAGATATCATGCAATCGGAGCATAATGGTGCTTTTTTCGATTTAATACAGCTTGGATAAATACATAATGAATAAGCTGTGTCCTGTCAAAGTAAGCTGTCATTGAATTCACTTAGGTCTTCTCTGAACCCCTTGTGAAAAAATTCAGATAATTTTCGATAACTGGTATTTTAGTAAAGTTATTCACTTAAATCCGTGAATCAGAATTTGAGATGTATTGTTGAGAGGCCGCGAAAGCATCAACATTTTAATGTCTATATTATACGAAAGTTGATAAGTGAACTTTTTCTACCCATTCTGATGATTGTAAAGCTCGATCGTGAATACTGCATAAATTCTTAACACTGCTTACCAATTAATTTACAGTAAGTTTCATATGTCAACCGATCTCTGTTGAATGGATATATGAAATATAACCACACAATGCATTGGTGTGGGAAAATTGTGTGCCCAAATACAAATACAAAACGAAAATATGTCGGTTGTGGCCCGAAGTAGATCAAAAGTTGCTTCCAAAATCATACAATCTAAGCGCTGACTTTCTAACAATTCATAAAATACTGAACCCTATTGTCGTGTTTTAGAAAACTTAGGGGTAAATAGAAAAAATAACTACCTGCGTTCTCTCTCGTAGTAATAAGTTATCTGTTTGCTGAAAATAAAGCTCAAACAGCAAACACATTTGAACTGTAGTTGATTCTTGCTACCAAACTTAACACAAATGGAGTTTAGTTGCCGACTAAATGCTCTAAGATATTAAATAATGGTAACCCTATATCTACTAATAAATTGCTCTATAATAAAACATTTGTGGGGCTTTTATTCTGACCTTTCTATCAAAGACTTTGAACTTACGCGGCAAATTAAGCCGAAGACGGGCTCTAATGGCTCTAATCGATGGGTCTCTTGTTGTTATCCGAGAATAAACTTGGTTTATTTGACTATGGTTAACTGACCAATCACCAAAAAGGCCTCCTTTCCAAGTGACAGTGACAATGTCTAATAACTTTACACTCCCAACAACACATGTACACGACATCCAATTGCGGTCCATATCTAGAAATGTATTGTCATCCAGCTGTCTTCTTGTGAAGTTAAAACTTCCTATTTCATCTAGATATTCTATTGTTGGCACAGTGACATCATTTGTTCCAATAACTAAAATTTAAGAAAAAGGACGTTATTCGTCAAGTGTAATGATTTTTTCAGGTGTGGATATATTTTTACAACCGATGGTTTTGGCCAGAATTTGTAGAGAAAGAGAATTATGATTACACTGACAATTAAATGACAAAATATGACCTTACCTCCCAACATTCAAATATTTGGCATATAGGCAATTCGGTGGTTACTTATTATAAAATGGACGATCTAAGAAGTGTGAAATTTCAAGACCACATTTGGAAATGTTGTGAACTCCTTTAAACCATGGTCAGTCGTTAGTAGGCTATAAAATCACACTCCATGGATAAATAGACATATTTCACAGCTCGTTAGGCGTAAGAAACATTTTCAGAACCTTTTATCAAAATGTAATCAAGAATCTTTTAAGTAAATGTGCTTGTAAGTCAGAAATAGACATAAAACGGCCACTGTATGGTTTAGCATTACTTACAACAGACAGTCATTACAAATTTAGATTTGGATCCACAGCATCACTACACGTAGATCTATCAAAGTTATAAAATGGATGAAAGAAAAGACCTAAAAATTTCCCACATGAAGAATGAAACCTGGAACGTATTCATCTTCATTTGCTCTAAACAGCTTTGCTTCAGTCTCAGCAAAACTGGGAGCGCATACAAAGCATTGATAGTAAATTCCAGATTATCCTTCGAGGAAAGACTAGCCTTGGAAAGTTACCTCTCTACTTAAATATAAGAAATCAAAGAACTTATAGAATCCCATCGCTTCTGCTTCAGGAGGACTCTCTGGTAATACTAAGTGAAGATTGAGAAATCGTAACTTCTGTCAAAGTATTCCGATAAAGCATTTCCTACTAGTGGTCGTAAAACGCCAACCATTAAATCCGGTGGTAGCAAACTGTTATTAAAAACTTTGCCTACTAAGAAAAGAGATGAAAAGAGATTACCTTAACATCTCAGACCAAACAAGTTCAGTGAGCCTGATGATATCCACCCTGAAATCGTGGAAGCTCTGATGGACACAGTTACAAAAACACTAGCTATGTCGTTTGATACACCACTGAGTCAGTTGAATCTACTGAGAGATCGAAATGATTAAATAATTAGTATAGTTCATAAAATTTAGAATAAACATTTGATAATAACTTTCTGCCTGTCACTTCTACTAGTATTGTATCAAAGTTCATCAGAAAGATTACTTGAATTGTTACTATCTTTATGTCAAGAGAAGAAACCATTCGGTCAAGAGACAATATGGTTTTGGCGTGAATTATCCATGTTTAACCAATCGTATTTCAAGAGAGATGTTCGTACTGCAGCAATAGATTACAATATCTCACTAGACGTAATCTTTGTAGGTTTCAGTAAAGCCTCTGATGGGGTTTCTGACATGGGACTTACACAAAAGTTGGGAGGTTTTGGTATGAGTCACGTAATCAAAGATTGAATTTCTGACTTGCTCAGTGACAGAAGGCAATGTATGAGAGCACATTATTTTCATAGGATTCTGTGAAGATTGGGATTTTCTGAGAGATAATCTCAAGCATATTTCTCCTTATACTTTGCGTATATAACCTAATAAAAATAAAGAGGTCACACGTCATATCGTTTATAAGCCACAGTAAAGTATTACGTCACATTCTTACCACAATTATTGAGACGGTACTACAGGAAGACTTGAGAGCTTTATTTAAGTGGACAAACAAATGGTTGCTATAGGCGCGTTCTAGCGAAATTATAAGATCTTAAAAGTCAAGTTGGATAACCTTAAGGCAGTTGTCGTTACAGGCTTCTGGATCCTCCAGGTAATTTGTAAGGCATTTTTCCACATATGAAAATATGTTCAAGATAGTATATCTAACGTATGTGAGATCTCACATAAAATATAGGATCGTATATTCGATCGTATAGTTTTAGTTTCATATGTGAGGAAAATACGCAAAAACTGGGTTCACGGTCAATGGAATAAAATAATGAACAATTTTCCTGGTTGGATTCGAGAAGAGAGACCGACACTCATCAACTTATTCACGCCATCTTACCATAGGTTAAAAAGTGATTTTTCATTACTTTACCATTGAGAGCCCGATGATATTGTTATTAATGTGCTGTGTTTTATCTTATAAGGATAGATTATATAAGAGAACACCCTTGAATAGTTTAAAGTTTAAGATCAGACTGCTTGCACACAAAGTTTCATTTCCCTCACGAAGTCATTAAACACTGAGATTCTCCAGTATGTCAAGTGTTACCAGCATATTTTACTGGTGCACTTAGAACAGGGTTGGATCCTCACAGTATCAAAAATCACCTTATGACCTATGTTGACCTGTAAGGACTGAAGATCACTTCGTTGATTATTGTTAATATATCTTCCGGCTATATCGCTGCAACCAAAGACTTGAAATCAAACGTTAACTTATGATTCTTTGCTAATAAATTATATGCACTTGATTTTTTGCACTTTGGAAAGATATTTCTTTAAAGCATAAAAATGTATACGTCTATTCTTAAATAAGTAAGAAAGATGGACACGTCACAAATTTGAATTGTAATTTTCAAGAAACGTATTTTGATATACCAAAACAAAATCGAAAATAAATAAGGTGTACTTGAATATATGTAGACTGTAAGAATATTTGAGATCCCTCTAGAGATACACTCATAAACACCAGATTCAGAGAACCCAGTTTCGCTGATTTCCCACTGAACTTCGCTCCCAAATTTCGTCACTAGTTGTGTCGTTACATTTCTGTCATACTCCTTGCGGCTGATGGTTATATTATCCGGACTGGTAGCTGAACATCGCAGCTTTAAAGGTCGTCCAAGATAAATAGTTTTTGAACTTGTAAAAATCCATGAGTCACCATCCAAGATTGATAACGAAGTACTGAAGTCTGATTGGAAAATCAGTTTAATATTTATGCTCCAACTTACCTAATGACAGTGAGGATAAAAATTTTACAAAAACTAATAAAGCCGATAAAAACATCGCACACAAACTGCGCGCTTGAGAGTGCACATAAATATAAATTTAAGTAGCTGATGCAAACAGCTACGTCTTTTCATAAAAAATACTTTTGAGTGAAAATCCGTGTCAACATTTTATCACAGCTTTTTATCTCTGATATAAAGGTTTAAATATTCAACTGTGAAAACATATAGTTCAGACTAAGCAAACATCCATATGCATCCGGACAGGCCACACGACAGCAGGATCAAACACAAACGAAAGCTGGAGCTGACAATTACACTTGTGGACTGTCTTGATCTTAAAAAAAGCGTGTAAAGGTTAGGGACTGCCAACTTGGTAAACATTGTATAGGTAAGCTACCTGTCCACTCACGCAATGCTCATATAGACACACAGGAAGAAGCTCACGCTGCTTATACATGAATACCGCGAGTTTGCCGAACAAAATGAATGAGCTACGCTAATGATGCTCATCTGGTAGGAATATCCGAAACTTGGATATCGTCTCAGTTTACAAACCAGGAGTTGGCAATACCCGGAATGTCTTTATTTCGCAACGACAGGAAAATTGGAATGGGGGGTGGGGTAGCATTATACATACGATCATGCCTGTAGGCGCACCAACTTCACAACTAAGAGTTTCTCAATCTTGATGAGTCAGTATGGTGCTCAGTAACATTGTCTACCACCTCGAGGTGTCTAGTTGGGATCATCTACAGAAAGCCCATTGCTGACATCGAGTATGACAATCGTTTGATGGAAGGATAAGCCCACTCCACGCGTCTTGGATTCTCCCATATCCTGATTCTGGGGGACTTCAATCTTCCTAGAATCAACTTCGTGGACCATACCTACATTGGAGGTGACAACTCTACTGAAGCTCGGTTCTTTAACCTCATTGATGATCTGGGATTATTCGAAAATGTGAAGTCAGCAACTCGTTGGAGAAACAGTCAGAAGCCGTCGCACTTAGATTGGGTATTCACAAATGAAGAATTTCTGATCGACGACCTCACAATCCTGATTCCCCTGGGGAAAGGTGATCACGCCGTCCTATCCTTCAGCTTTGTCAGCAAGACGGAGCTACGATATCCTACTAGCAACAAGCGCTGGAACTTCAAACGGTTGAATGTGTTAGCTTTACAGGACTATCTTCAACAGGTGGATTGGGATGTTCGCCCTCAACTTGAAGTGGGTGCTCATTGGGATTTTTTACTGCACACGATCTTATGTGCTACTGAGCATTCAGTTCCTAAAATGGTCCCAAAAAGCTACAAGCAACCTGCAATCATCAAGAACCGCACTCGTCGTTTACTAAGCCGCAAAAGGCACTGTTGGGCTGAATATAAACGAACTGATAACAACGGCGCGTACAGGCAATACAAACATATAAGGAACATATACACAAAGGCAATAAGAGAAGACAGGCTTCAGTTCCAGACCAAGCTTATCGATAGATTCGTCTCCAATCCGAAAAGCTTGTTCAGTTATACAGCTTCTCTTCGACAAGGCAAAACTGGAGTTTCCCAACTGCTAGGTCCTAATGGTCCGACCAATAACGACGGTGATGCTGTGAATCTTTTGGCTGAACAATACTCCCAGACATTCCAGCCGACTCACATCAACTATACTGACGAAAGCTCCACCTACACCTGCACAGGACTTTCCGAAGTGGACCTGAGCACTGACATGGTGCTCCGTAAACTGCAGAACCTAAGAAAAGACACTTCTCGCGGTCCGGATATGGTTCACTCTGCTATACTGAGGGAAGCAATTTCAATTCTGGCATAACCACTTAGCGTGATGTTTTCACACTCTCTAAGCCGAGGCAAACTACCGGAAATTTGGAAGCCAGTGCACATCACAGCGATTTTCAAAGGAGGGCGACACAGTGAACCCTCAAGCTACCGACCAGTGGCCCTTCTCTCCATACCTTCTAAAATTATAGAGTCCCTAATATACGACGGTATAAATGGCTACTTATTATCCTTAAAGTTCTTCTCAACCCGACAGCACGGCTTCAGAAAGGGTCTATCTTGTATGACCAAACTGCTGACTTCAGTGGATAGATGGACAACCATCCTTGATCGCAAGGGGAAGGTTGACGTCATCTACCTTGATTTGTCAAAAGCTTTTGATAGGGTCAACAACATATGTTTTATAAATAAGCTTAGACGATTGGGTATCAAACCACCTCTGATTGACTGGCTCGCTTCATATCTAGAAAACCGACACTTTAAGGTCAGGGTTAACTTCACTCTCTCTCAGGCTATGGAATGTCCTAGTGGGGTCCCCCAGGGTTCAATACTAGGACCTCTTCTCTTCTTGATTTATATTAACGATCTTCCTCAACAAGTTTCATCTGACTTATTGCTTTTTGCTGATGATGTGAAACTTTGGAGAGAGATACGTAATCATAATGATATACTAGTTCTTCAGGAGGGTCTGACCCGCCTTCAAAGTTGGGCAGACGACAACGGACTTACCTTCCATATAATCTTCAACAGTTTTATTCGTCCCCATTTAGAGTACGGAAACATAGTATTTCCTCCCTTCCTCCAAAAGGATAAGGACACTCTGGAACGTATTCAACGTCGAGCCACGAAATCAGTTCGGGGACTCAAATTCAAACCTTACGAAGAGCGCCTCAAATCACTTAACCTTTACCCATTAGAGTACAGGCGTCTTAGAGGTGACCTTCTTATGACTTATAGTATCCTTAATACTTCTGTTCATCCCCTTAAACAACTTCTTAAGCTTAGTCATAACACTAACCTCAGAGGTAACACCCAGAAATTGGAGACCCAACATAGCAGAACAGACTGCAGACACAACTTCCACTCCGTTAGAGTTGTCAAATGCGGGAATTCGCTGCCGACTGAGCTAGTCCAAGCGACCTCCCAGGAGTCCTTTAAGAGGAAACGTGACCTATTCTTAATGACTTAGGATAACATATTATTATGATTTACCAAATTCTTTTTTTCCTCTATTATCGTTGATATACCTAGGTTTTTGCCTGGAGGTATTGGTGATCCACTGCTACTAGACACGGAAGCCCGTTAAGCGAAAGTTTCTTCTATTCCGTCCTCAACCATTTGAACCATTCGAAATCTCCAACTTTCAACCCCGATTTAGCTTTGGCAGTTTCTTTTGATCTGCATCTGGGTTTTTAAATAGCTCTACTGGTTATGAAGATAGGCTATTCCTTTTATATTAACTTCAGAAGCAGAAGGGGAAGCAATTTATCTAATAACGGAAATGATCGAGTAGAAACAGAGTAATCCATCTTATAAACCACTAGACTAAAGTGATTTTCAAGTCTTCTTTTGAGAGGTTAAGTGGAGCGTAAAACTAATTTGACTTTTATTATAGAGTTTCATAACTTACTGATCCAAACAGTGACAATTTTGGAACGCAGTTTTGTGCGAACTGTACTTATGATTCTTTCCAATCATCTAACTATAAATTAAAGAACATTTATGCTTCAGTTCTTACTGGACTTACTAGTCCTTAGGCATAAAATTAAAGATGACGAAGATGACTCAGAATTAATAATGGGTCTCAATCCCAATCTCAATTTATCAGAAGTTACTGTGATATATTCTCTACCTTAACAGATGTATTTTTGTGTTAGATTTCTTTATCGTTTTACACCTTAATAACCAGAAGTTCACCGCTCATTTAAAGACTTGTTTAAAACTCAACTTGTACAGAAATATGTTTAGTAGGGTATTATTTCTAATTCACTTGCCAAAAACGTTTGTTTCAATCTTCTTATAGCCTTATTCGTTATGAAAGATTTGCTAAACGTAGACCATAGTGCATTGCTACGAAGTCATAACAGCGGCACCAATCCTATAAAATAATTCACTGCGACATAGTCAAAAACATATAATAGAACTTTGAAACACTATCTAGTATGAATACACAAATTCCCGGATCTGTCTAAAATACATTCAGGGAGTTAAAGATGGTTCGGCTTTAGATGGCACAGATGGAGGTGCAATTTTTAAAAAGAAATTATTACACATTAAGTTTGGAATAAGGAATGTAGTAATACACAAAGCATTTATTACTTCATAAAAATATCACACCAGCACTTTAATTATTTGAATGAATAGACTGTACTTATGAGATCATTAGTCTATTGAGGTGTTCAAGTAAACCAAGATAAATGCTCTTCAGTAAAGAAGTAAATCCGAGATGAATTTCTCAATCTGTTTCAGCTACCCATCAGGTTAAAAGGTTACAAATATTTTGTGAGGATCACCATCTAGACGAACAATTAACTCCCACCGAAATCATGAACTGATTAATCTTAGATCATTAGTGAAAATATTCAAGCACTGGAAGGTTGTTTCATTCCAGTATGCGATTACTCATTTGTGCTCAAGCATGAATACTTACGCAGGAATGGAATACAGGACATTCGATATCACGTGCATTCTCTTGATTTCTAGATCACTCATATCTCAAGTGCACAGAACAATGTTGTTTTGTTATAACAGATTTAAACGCGTAATAAAGTAGTTGGTTTTACGATAAATGTGTTATTTGTACACTACAGTTGTTTAGAAGAGGTTTGATGCACACTCCTCATTTAGACTGAGCCACAGATAGATATCAAATAAAATCATAAACCTGTAGTGACCGGCTTGTCTCGACGAGAACACGATTGGAATAGTGGAAACAACTAATATTTTAACCCATTTTACCAGAGATTGTTTTATCGTACTCGTTGTTGTTTAATTGTATCAAAGTCACTTTTCGTTCGGTGGTCCGCCTTGTTTGGTTTGACCTCACGCTCTGCCCTTTTTGCCTGTACTCGTTGGCACGTCTCGGTATTCTTTCGATACCACGAGATCGCCAATAAATATACTCTACCTGGACCAATTACAGCCTTCTGCTTTGCGAGTTATCAAAGAGACCAAGTCGTTTCTGGGCGCGTAAACGTAGTGCAGTGGTGACCACAGTCCATCAAGACTCGACGCCATCTACAAACCTACTTGGAATAGTAGCATTTCTATTTAAAATGTCTTCAGACTGATTTACACTGCCCTGACAATGAAGCTCTTGTTTCCCTAATTCAGTTTCTAGCCAGAGACTTAGCACGTAGATTCCACACATACTTGAACAGAAGAAAGACGGAGCCATTTGGATATAATTCTTTCTGCTCGTTATCAA